GAAGGACAAAAGTTTTTAGTTTTAAGTCAGTTTATCTGTTTTTTTTTGTGTGTGGTTTGTGCTTTAGGTGTTGTAGCTAAGAAATCATTACTTAATCCAAGCTCATGCAGGTTTATTCTGCTTTCTAAGACGTCTGTAGTGTTTGTTTTAATACTGAGGTCTTTGATCCATTTCGAGTTGATTTTGATTTTTGTGTGTGGTGTATTCTTTTGCACGTGGACACCCAGTTGTCCCAGCACCACTTGCTGAATTGAATTATCATCTTTACTGCTCTCTGTAGACTATAGTGGGAGGACGATTGGTGTCCTCTCAATTGCATTCTCTTGGTCTCTGTGTCTGTCCTTATGCCAGCACCCACATTTTTATTACTGTAGCTTTTTGGTTTGGTTTGAAATCCGGAAGTGTGAGTTCTCCAACTTTTTTCTTCTTCTTTGAGATTGTTTTGGCTATTTGGGAGCCCTTGGATTTCCATATGTGTTTTAGGATCTGCTTGTCAATTTCTGCAAAGAAGCCATCTGGATAGTGATTTTTTTAAAGGGTATTTATTATTACTTTTTTCTAACTACCACAGCAGCATAGACTGCTGAAAACCTGGAAGACAAAAATCAAACAGAAGGCAGTGGTAATTCTCTTTTACTGGTGTCCCTTCAGGCTTTGTCTTCTGTGTATATAGTTTTTCCTACACAAAATTTGGAGTCGTTCCAGAGTTAGTAAATGTCTAGGGGCACTTTTGGATTAGTACCTTAGCAGAAACGTCTGGAACTGGAATTGCTGGGTCATGTAACACACACAGGGGTAGGAATTGGTTTGTCTTCTTTTTAACAAAGACTCTGAGGACCAGAGAGTTTAAGCGACTGGATCCAGGTCACACAGCTAAAACTCAGGGTGCGGGCAGCACACTGGATTTTGTAGGTGGTGGTAGCAGCGCTCGTTTATGAGGCTGATGCTTGAAAGTTGTGATAGCGAATGCCCTTTGTATTAGTGTTCTGTTGATGTGTAACTAAGTACCAATTCAACTGATTAAAGCAACATTGTTTATTAGCGCACAGTTCTGCAGGTCAGAGGTGTGGCTGGGTTCTCGCTGCGGGTGACACCAGGCTGAGTTCTTTTCTGGAGGCTCTGGGGAAGAATCAACTCTGCCCCTAGAGGCCTCTCCTCTCCAGGTGGGGCCTGCTGCCTTCAGAGCCAGCAACGGGGGCTCTCCCCTGTGCTTCCCCTCTCTTGGCCTGTGGTCTCTGACCCCTAGATCCAGGTTCAAAGGGCTCATGTGCTTAGGTCAGGCCCACCTGGATAATCTTTCTATAACAGCCTCATCATGGGGTGCACACCATCATCTACACAGTCCCAGGGGTTGATAGGGGCCTGTACACAGCAGGCTGGGATCTTAGGGGGCATTTTAAAATTTCTGCCTACAAAATCGTTTTAAAGCTAGTAGCCAAAAATTATAGACAACATGAGGAACGCTATTAGTAGTCACTTACCTGGTATTTATGACCCCTTTAGGGCTCAGGGCTTTGCTGGGTGCTGTGGGGAGGCTAAAGTAGCAGGCGCCATCCCTGGCCTGAGGGAGTGCTAAGTCTGCCTGGGGGGCGGGGGGTCAAGGGCCAGCCCTTTGTGGCTGCTGTGAGGTGCGGGGTGCCCGACCCAGGTGGGTGAGGAGGTGCAGGAGCTGGGGATCTGCAGCTGAGCAGAAGGCCGGCAGCAGGGCAGGCTGGGGGGACTGTGGGAAGCTGGTGGGGAATCAGGCTGGCCAGAGAGGGGGCCCAGGTGGGGGAGGGCTCTGAAGACCAAAAATGGGGGGTAGGGTTGCTGAGCCTTGTGTCCCCGTACTCATTTTTATCTCTTAAGTTTAAATAACACATTCTGCAAAAAATACACACCGGTAAAATCTCATCAAGCGGCCAGAACAGGCCCCTGGGGTGGGGGGGCATAGACATAGGGGTCTCAGTTCTGTGGCTGTGGGAGTGGGTTCAGGGTCCGGGCGGTGGGTCAGCCTTAGAGAGCCACAGTGGGGGGCATTCCAGGTCTCTTGGTCTCAGGAGAGAAGCAGGCATCCCCATCCTCTGTCCTGAGAAAGTGTGGTCTGTGCGGTTGTGCCCTGGACCGTCAGCAGTGCGGGGAGGAGGTGGTTCTCTGTGACTCCAGCCCCGATGGAGGCGGCGTGGGCTGTAGCTCGGGTCCTGTGGGGCACCCGGTCCTCCTGCCCTGCCCGCTGCGGGTTTGCCTTCTGAATGCCCCCACCTGCCCTGAGACGTCAGGGACACAGCTTTGCGCCTCCACGGCCTGGATTTTGCCATTTCCCCGCTCGTGCTCCTAATTCATCTCTGCCCACCTCCCAGGTGGAGCGTCAACTCCTGGAGGTCGGGGACACCTTTGCCCCCCACCACCTGGCACGAGGCAGGTGCTCGGTGATAGCTGGTGAGTGGGATACTGTCACTTGGTGCCTATAATCGCTGAAAACTTGCTGATAAAAGGACCATGGTAGTGCTTTGTAGGATTAAAGGATCAAGGATGAGGAATGGCACGTGCAAAGGTCCTGAGGTAGAGAGGAGCTTGGGGTTCTTAAGAACACCAGCAAGGAGGCAGGATGCTCAGTTGGAAGTGGCCTTGGTTCAAGGAGGTGGTTTAGTCAAGGATGGTGAAGAGGAGAAGGTGAAAAGTGGACCCAGTTATGAGGTGGGCAGAAGTGGGGTGAGGGGTGAAGTCCAGGCTCTTGACACTGGTGGATGGTGTTCTGTTTCTTTCCCAGAAAATGAGCAGGTTTGGAGGCAGATGAATTCTTTCAGAGATGCTTTTAGGGACAGCTTAGCAGCAGGATCGTGGAGGTGGGGCTGCATATTTGGGGGTTTCTGATTTGGGGACAGCACTGGAAGTTGTGGGAAGGCATGAGCTGACCTTGGAAGAAAGTGGAGAGCGAGAAGAAGAGTTGTCCAGGGCGCGGCCTCAAGAGGCCTGTAGAGGTCAAGGAGGACCCCCAAGGGAACTGGAAGGGAGGTCAGAGACGAGGACACAAGCTGGGCGAATGCGGTGTCCATGGAGGAGAGTGCTGGAAGGCGGGAGGGGAGGCAGCTTGGCTAGGGGCTGATGGTTCAGTCATGGCCCTGGGCAGGGGAGTGAGGTCCAGGTCCAGCTGCCAGACCCCAGGCCAGGCTCTCAACCCAGGCAGCAGGCCCTGGGGAGGGAGAGGGAGGGAGCGGAGCATGGGGGGACGGTGTGGGAGAACTGTAACTGGCTCCATCTTGCTGACCTTTCAGGATGGCTTTGTTGGAACCAGAATGCCACAGAGCTGCTCACCTCTTTCTTCCTCCAGAACTGCCTTTAATTTATGTTCACTTCTATTCTTCATGGGATTGTGTGTCTGATTTAATATTTTTGAGTTAGTGGGAAAACAGAAGATGCTTCACAGAAATTTGCCTTGTGGCCAATTTTGCAGGTTACATCTGTTTCCAAGGGTGACAGAGAACACTATATTCTGGACTCATGCCCTCTCGTTCATCTTTGAGAGGGGCCATAAAGTCCCATTTCCAAGAGGTCATTGAGACCGGGCGCCTGGGTGGCTCAGTCGTTAAGCGTCTGCCTTCGGCTCAGGTCATGATCCCAGGGTCCTGGGATCGAGTCCTGCATCGGGCTCCCTGCTCGGCAGGAAGCCTGCTTCTCCCTCTCCCACTCCCCCTGCTTGTGTTCCTGCTCTCGCTGTCTCTCTCTGTCAAATAAATAAATAAATAAATAAATTAAAAAAAAAAAAAAGAGGTCATTGAGACCAATTAGGTAGTTTTATTAGTTTTGCCTGCATAGGAAAATCCTGCGCTATTTTTGATCGAATCTGTTCGGGCATCCATTTTATTTCGTGGCTGAAGCGGGATTGGCCAAATGGAATCCTGTTTTTCCATAGATCTTTTCACAGCTGAAGCTGTCTTCTTTTATGATACGTCGCCGGCAAGGAGAATGGAAACTTGTCGAGAAAAGTCTCCAGTGGAAGGCTGGCCTAGAGAAGCGAGCGCATGTCCACAGCACTCACCAAAGCCACAAAAAGTGGCGACAACGCAGATTCTCATCAACTGTGATGAGAGGATCCGTGAAACGTGATAGATCCGTGCACTGGGATGTCATTCCGTCACGGGAAGGAATAAAGTTCTGATGTGTGCTTCGGCATGGATGAGCTTTGAAAACATCATGCCCAGCGAGAGAAGCCAGACACAGGAGATCACGTATTATATGAAATAAAGTTGATATGAAACTTAGAGGAAATCAATCGCATTTGCACAAGATTGCATTTATATGAAATATCCAGAATAGGCTAATCCACAGACCGAGAACAGAGTTGAGTGGTTGGAAGGAGGGGTCGGAGGGCCTGCTACTGGCTACGGGTTTCTTTTGGGGCGATGAAGTTGTTCTCAGTTGATTGTGGCGATGGGTGCATGATTCTGTGAAGACGCAAAACCCCTGAATTGCACACTTTCAAAGGGTGAATTGTATAGGATGTGAATTCCGTCTCAATAAAGCTGTTGAAAAGAAGAGGCGCTCGGAGCTGTCAGTCACGGGCCATCTGGGGCCGCCTTCTCTCCACGGCTTTAGGCTCAGGGTGACGGGGGACTGCTCTGGTGCAGACCCTGTGGGAGGGGAGGGATGGATGTCGTATGGGCCACCTGTCCTGCCTCAGGCCGCGAGGCGCGGTCCTGCTGATATTACTCGTGTAACCCCCTCCTCCAAGCCACAGTGAACAGTTACCCTCTTTTCCTTTTCCTGAGAGTGTCCCCGTCCACCCACGCTCCTGCCAGGAGGATGCCCAGGGTCACCGTGGTGGCTGCCCTCCACCGTCCCGTCTTGAAGTCCCACGGGAAGTCCAGCAGCCCAGGCCGCGTCTTCCCCTTCCCGTCTGCCCGGCCGCCATGCTGGGGCGCATCTCGGTGCCCACCAGCGCTCAGTTCCTGGGCTTGCTCTGGCCGTTGCCCTGGTCTGCCTGGCATGGCGAGCGAGGCCATAATGCTCCTTGTCCCCAGGTTCTCATTGACTGGATCAACGATGTACTGGTGGAGGAGAGAATCATCGTGAAGCAGCTGGAGGAGGACCTTTACGACGGCCAGGTGCTGCAGAAGCTCTTGGGTGAGTCCACGGGCACCCCAGCAAAGGGCCACCGTGGGGTGGTCCCCAGGCTGGGCCACTCGATTCTCTGCAAGGTGGCATGGGCCACATGTCCTCAGGGTGGCCTGAGCCCATGCTCCAGGTGGCAGCTCCTGGGCTGCAGCAGGCCACGCCCAGCTTCCAGAACTTTCCCATGGGGACCGGGAGATGGGGCAAGAATGATGCCACTTCCTCTGTGGGTCAGCCCTCCTACAGGGGCGGTGGGGAGGGAATGGCCCACGTGTCATGCCCTTGCTCAGCCTGTCCCCCAGAAGTACATTTGGAGGGAAGAAGTTGTGTTTGTCTTGGTTGTTCCTCTGTTGGACGAAGATTCACCTTGTGGCAGGTGTGGATCTAGGCTCTGGGGATGCAGTGGTAACAAGAAGGGGGGTCCCCTCGCCCACCTGTCCCCCTACATTCTGGCAGAGGGAAGAAAGAGAAATGTTATGGGACACAAACAGATGCTTTAAGAGAGTGGCACGTGCTAGGAAGGAAGCCAGAAGGTCACGGGGCGGAGAGGGTTTGGGCAGTGGGGGCGGCTATCTGGGGAGGGGACATCTGAGCAGATATCTGCACCACCAGCCTCAGAAGAACATTCCAGGCCAAGACTCGGATGTGAGGAAGACTCTGTAGTGTTTAAAGATTAGTGGAAGGAGGCTGCAGGAGGTGGGGGAGAGGGGTCGTGGGGGTGCTGGACGGGGCCGGGAAGATGGACGAGGCTAGATCGCGTCCAGAAAAGGCTTTTATTCCAAGTGACAGGGAACCGCTAGAGCTTTTGAGCAGGGCCGTGACATGATCTGAGCTAAGTGTCTTATGAAGTCACCTGGGCTTCTGGGTATAGAAGGCGGGGGTCGGGAGCAGGAGCTGAGATCGGTCAGGAGGCTGTTCCGGCAGCCCGGACATCAGATGAAGTGGCTCAGACTAGGGGGAGGTGCAGACCCGGGGGGAGGGATCTTGGAGGTTGGAGCTGCCAGAGATGTCAAGGCTGACATGACAGCCAGGTTTGTGGCCTGAGCAGCTGGGGAACCAGGGGCCCCTTGGGAGGAGCGTGGGGGGTGGGGAATGAGGAGGTGGGTGTTGCAGCAGCCGGGGCCTGTTCTACCTGAGTCAGTGGCCAGGTGAGGATGGAGAGCTCGGCAGCAGAGGTGATGCTTAGCGCCATGGTACCCAGGGGCCTCACCTGGAGAGGGTGGTCCAGATTCATTAGTTGGCTGAAGGCCAAATGGCCAGAAATTTCTCAGTATTTGGCTGAGCCAGGGATCCCCGTCTTGGAATGACTCCCACGGTACAAGAATAAATTTGAAATGTTATCGGGATTGGTAATCATTAACACCAGTTTATTATTAAAAATGGCGGTCAGGTGGAATCATTATATTGTATGCCTGAAACTAATAGAACGCTCTACGTGTATTATGTGTGGATAAAAAAAAGTGTCGGTCGGTTTTGATGTTTTAGATCGTAGTGTTGGTGTGGTCATTCCCAGGGTCATCCTCAGCCCTGTCGGGGGCTACGGTCCCCTCAGGGTCGTTATACTGGACATTCGTGATGACAGATACTTTCAGTAGAGAAGGGGCGAGGAGCGCATGGATCTTCGGATCCGCCAGCAAGGATTCTTCTGATGGGGTTGCTGCCCGGGTTACCAGTTGTCCTCCTTGTCTGAGGTGAAGACTGAGCTCCCCCTCGGCTCTTGGACTCAAAGAGTTGGCCGTGGGTGACGCCGCTGTCTTATTGAAACGGTCCCTTAAGCAGGTGCCTGGTTCCCTGCCGGAGGGAGATGCTTCCTAGCATTTTCAGAAGCAAACTTAAGAGTGTTGCACTCAAATTTTTTCCTTCCGATGCTTCTGCACGCCCCTGTGGCTTCATTCACCCAGTTGCTTGAAAAAATCGTGTCCTAAGCCTGAGTTCTAGCGGGGCGGGGAGGGGGGCGGGTTGCTGATAACCATCACCGGATCATAGGGCAGGCTCCGAATTTGCCTGTAAATGGTGCCGGCCCCTCCCAGGCGATGAGTGACAGGGGCATCCTTAGAGCAGGTATCGGGTAGGAATTCTTGCCCCTCAAGGCACGTCCTTTGGTACCCCCCTCAGCTGGCAAATGTCACACTCGATCCGAAGCTGCATGATTGTCCGTCGTCCTGTGTTGCGGGAGGCTGACTCTGGCAGCTGACTTCCATCCCGCGTGAATATCTTACCTGAGTACTTAATAAGGCGATTCCAGAATCTCTCATATGTCAAGTGGGTTGACACGCTCCTCTGTGGGACGAAAAGAACCATGGAAGAGAATTCTCGGATCTGAACACAAACCCAGCATGTCTTGCCTGGTTGTTGATTACTCACTGCTGATGTCGCTGTGCCCACGAGATGCAGCAGGGACCCGTGTGAGCACATGGTCCTCGAGCCCAGGGTTAGCAGGAATGACACCCACGTGGACTAGACATTCGGCTTGTCACTGTCTCCAAAGGCGGAAGCCAAAGCCAGAAAGGAGACTGTGGCCGAGTGCCGAGGCCAAAGCTGACCTGTGCATCTGGAGAGAGGAGAGGGGTGCGGCCGGGGCCCTGGGTGGGCAGAAAGGGGTCGGGAAGAGGAGGAGCCAGCGAAGGAGTCTGAAGGGTCCAGCTGTAGGGAGGAGGCAGGGAGGGGTAGGGGAAGGGTGTTTCAAGGAGGCAGGAGTGAGGACAGAGAGTGGACCTCTGGATGTGGCCGTGTGAGATCACCAAGTGCGAGTCAGCAGCAGAACCCCAGCTGGGTCCCTCTTCTTGAGAGCAGACCCTGGAAGCAGCTGCCGACTCTGCCCCGTGGCAGGTTTCGGCGGGTGTAACTCTTCCGCAAGGTGGGCCATGTGTGGGCAGAGGGAGGGTGCCCCTGCCGGGGTCCCAGGGGCCTCCTGGGCTGGCTGTGGTCCCGCTTCTAACTCCTGGCACTCCCTTCTCCTTGCAAAAGGCAGGCCCTTCCCTGCGCAGGGAGTGTTCACAGCCCTGCATTCAGCCTCACCACGTTTGCCTGCCACATCTGAGGATCCACCCCAGCTTCCTTGGTCCCTCTCCGTGCTCTGAAGCCAGGTGTTGGCCGCAGCAAAGCCAGCAGAGCCTGGAGCCGCCCCTGGGGCCCATTGGTAGGCAGAGTGATGCCGGCGACTCGGGCAGCCAGATGTGTGATCCTCTCCCACGTGGCAGGGCTAGCAGGACCAGCCTCAGGCAGCACCCAGGTGCAACCAGCCTCCTCGGTTCCTGTCATCGGCTGAATTGTGTCCCCCCCCACCCCCCAGAAGTCATAAGTTGAAATCCTAATCCCTAGGACCTCAGAATGTGACTGTATTTGGAGACAGGGTCTTTCTAGAAGTCATTAAGTTAAAATGAGATCATTGGGGGGTGGGCCCTACACCCATACAGCTGGTGTCCTTTTAAGAAGAAGAGATCAAGACAGACACACGTAGTGGGACAGCCACGTGAGGACACGGGGAGAGAGGCCTCAGGGGAAAGCAGCTCTGCCAGCCCCTGATCTCAGATTTCTAACCTCCAGGATCCTGAGAGAAAGTACATTTGCATTGTTTACGCCCCCTGGTCTGAGGTCCTCTGTGACTGCAGCCCTAACAGGCTGGTACAGTTTCCTTTCCGCCTCCAGCACGCCTCCTCCTTCAGCCTGGGTATCACGGCCACGTTCAGCCTGCAGGGGCTGCAGGGTTGGCTGGTGGAGGGGACGGCAGAGGCGTACTGGGCTCCCCGTCTCCCAGCAGGCGAGGCTCTTGGACCACCCGGCTCTGTAACCTTCCTTCCTTCCCCAGGATCCTCCGCTCTGCCCTGTAACACCTGGGGGACCTGCTGTGTATTTTCAGGGTGTTCATATGGAACAGCTGTGGCTTATCCAGCTCGGACCTGTCAGATGCAGAGGGACATCAAAATATATAAACAGCAACCACTTCTAGCCCCGGCTGGATGCATTTGGTTGAGCTGCTTTGTTTTGCTTCTAGCACTCACGGCTGCAGCCCGATGTTATGGAGGTGAGGGTGCCTCCCCTGCTGGGGAGCCTCTTGTCTGTGCTGCATCCAGCCCCAGGACAGTGCCTGGTGCACGGAAGGTGCTCATGTAACTGTTTGGTGAGCTAACGAAGGAAGGAAGCAAAGGAAGAAGCATCCCAAGCCCCACAGGCATTGCTCTATAATGATACTATCCTGGAGGGAATATTAAAACGGTTTGCTCTAGTTCTAATCGAGGGAGGGGAGGACATGGGGAGAGAATGCTGAGTTAGCGGGCCTCCAGACGGAATGCCGTACACAGAGCTTTGGGGGGACCACTTGCGAAACGGGAGCCCCACCATGACCAGCCTGGCCTCCGCTGTCTGCTGTCCCCCCCTTCAGTGCCACAGCCAGCAGCCATGTCCTGGCTCGCAGCCGGTTGGGCTCTGTGCCGGGCACCGTGGTCACCCTCCCGGGGAACAGGTCGCCATTTTCTGCGATGCTGCTGCTGTTGATTTGCTGAGGAGAGACATCCCATCAGGAGACACCTGGGTCTTAGAGCCCCTTCTTGCCTTGCCCCTTAGCAGGTGGGGGGCCCACGTGGCAGCAAAGTGGGTGGGGCTCCCACCGAGGCCGGGCTCGGGGTCAGTCACCGGATCTGGAGCAGATGTGGTGGTTCTTGTCGGGCTTGTCGGGGTCCTCCAGTGAGCTTCCGGCTCACTCTCGGGGATAAAGTCGTTCGTGGTGGTGTCTGTGAACATCTCGCCATCCTTACCGCGGTGTCCTGCTGTTAGAGAAACAAGAGGACCCAGTGCACCGCCTCCTCCGCTCCGGCCCCGTCCCCGTCCCTGCGGGTCCCCTCCCTGTCCCCCAGTTGCACCTTGAGTCATTTTTTCCATGTCACGTGCCTAGAATGTTTCCGAGTGGGACACCTCCAGGTCTGCCCTCGACCTCCACGCCCCCTTTCTGCTCTGGAGTACTTTTCCAAGGAACACAAAGGACTAGAAAGCTCGGAGCTCCGTGGCTCCCCGTCCTGACAGCGCCCCACTGCTCTGTGATGATCTGCTCGCCCCGGGCTGGGTGGGGGAGTGGTCCCCTTGCGGCTGGGGCACCAGGCGGCCCCGAGACCCTCCATCGTTTCCTCACGCCCTGCGTCTTGCTCTTGTCCTTCTCGTTGCAGAAAAACTGGCGGGCTGCAAGCTGAATGTGGCTGAGGTGACACAGTCCGAGATCGGGCAGAAGCAGAAGCTGCAGACGGTGCTGGAAGCCGTGCATGGCCTACTGCGGCCCCACGGCTGGGCGCTCCAGTGGACCGTTGACTGTGAGTAGTCTCGGGGGACACCGAGCCTGTCCCCTCAGCTCTCCACGCTGTCATTCATCGTGGCCTTTCTGGGCTTGCATGTTCAAAACCCGTTCCCGCTGCTGCTCTATGGAAGGCAGCTAGGACAGGCCAAAGCCAGCGTCCCCACTCTTGGGAGCTAGCTCCTAGGTGAGAGACGAAGTCACGCCTGTCATTGCCTTTTTTTCCCCCCTTGCTTCTGAGAGGAAAGAAGTTGTTTCTGTTTGGGTGGGGCAGGGGAGGCTCCCAGAGGAAGGAGGGGAAAGAGAGAGAAGCTCTGTGGGGTTTTTGGAAGGGACCCAACCCCAGATACCCATGGCACCAACAGCAAATGAGCTGTTCTAGCCATGACCCGCTGGAGCAGGTCCTCAGGAAAAGATTCATGCTGGCCTCTGGGATAAATCACAGCATGCTGCCACGACGAGTATGTGACATCACAGCATTCTCAGCCAAGACCTCAAGCCAGAAAGGTGAAGAACTAAAGCGAGAGGGTGCCTGGGTGGCTCAGTTGTTAAGCGTCTGCCTTTCGGCTCAGGTCATGATCTCAGGGTCCTGAGATCGAGTCCCGCATCGGGCTCCCTGCTCGGCGGGAAGCCTGCTTCTCCCTCCCCCACTCCCCCTGTTTGTGTTCCCTCTCTCGCTGTGTCTCTCTCTGTCAAATAAATAAATAAAATCTTTAAAAAAAAAAAAAGAACTAAAGCGAGAGAAGCCGGAAAGTTCTTTGTCGGGGCTGCCCCGCCCAGCACCCTCCCCCCTCCCATCCTCAGTGCAGGGCAGGCAGGGCCTGGCCAGGAAGCTCTCCACCCCCCTCCCCCGGAGCACCATCCACCCTTGCTTCCCTCCCTCGTGTAGGAGGTTGATAGTGCAGAGGGAGAACTTTTAAGCGCCAGGGATAATAATGCACATTATTGTGACGGCTAAGTGGCCACGATGACCCATCTTCCACAAAATTCTCCCTTCCCTATGCTAATTTCACTCTCCTGTCCGCTCCGTCTCCTTATCACACCACCCAGTTGACCCCTTTTAAAAATGCTGTGCTTTTGAAAGTGGTTGCACGTGTCACCTGAAAGCCAACAGGAAGGGAACAAATTAGAAAAGAGAAGTGAATTCATACAAGGCGCTCATCGTCTTCGTTTTTCCGTGGCCGGTGCTTTTTTTTCCGCCCATGGTTTTTCTCTGCGGTCTCGTTTGGACGCAGCGTCTTTATTGCCTTTTGGACATGGGCTTGGGGCTCCTGCAGAACCTGATCTAAACCAGCTCCCTTCTTCCCTCCCCCGACAAGCAATTCACGGGAAGAACCTGGTGGCCATCCTCCACCTCCTCGTGTCCCTGGCCATGCACTTCCGGGCCCCGATCCGCCTCCCCGAGCATGTGTCCGTGCAGGTGGTTGTTGCGCGGGTGAGTATCGGGCTTGCCCTCCATGCTACCAGAGGGGTGTGGGGACGCTTTCCTCCCGTGGATTCCCTCCCTGCTGCTTTTTTTTTTTTTTTTTCCTCCTAAGAGGCTACCTTCTGTTTTCCCCTCTTGACAAAAATGTGTGTCTCACCCTGGCTTGGAGACAAATGATTGGAGCCGGAACAATGGCACTGATTTAGAGAGAGGCAGATTCAAAGGCATGAGCGTATTGAGGTTTAATTTTCCAGATTTTTTTTTTTAAAGAACATTCATTTCTCTCCAAAGCCAAGTAGTTGGAACTCAGTTCTCTTGAATGAGCTTATTACTCACCGGAGAGGGTTGAGACCAGCGGTAGGAAATAGATACCCCAATTAAAGCTCCTCTGCATCTGCTCTGCATTCTATCCATCATTCCCCATGATCTCTCTCTTAGGGTCGTTTCTCTTGCTTCCCTTGGAGAAATGTAACTGGGAGCCAGAGTCCTTCTGACAGGGACAGAGCAGCCTTTCCTACCGTGTCCCCTGCATTTAAGGGGACAGACCCAGCCCTGGCTCTGTGTTTGTGGTCTTGTCCAGTAAATGCGTATGAAGCACCTACTGTGTCCTTGGCACTGGGCACTGGCTATCGGGGACACCAAATGGGGAAAAACACTCTGATTGCGAAAGCATCACTCTCCTGCCAGACCGATGAGGTTTCGCTCGGAACCCGGATATCTGTGTGTTTATAGACTTGCGATGTCCAAGTCCATGCTTTCCCTTATCGGCCCCGTGCTCTGCGGGCTGCAGAGCTCTGGCTGGTCCCAGTTTTCCGAAGCCGTCTGACCCTTCCGTTACCCCGGGAGCTTGGCCCTGACCCGGCGGGCGGGAATGCCCCTTTCTGGCATCAGGGGAGGGTTACCCCCCACCGTGTGGCCCTGCTTGCTTCCTAAGGCGGGATGTTTGTGGTCAGTGGTGGTGATGGGGTCAGGGACCATTCCTGCTGCCCTAACCCTGGGCACCCACTCGAGGCGGCCAGCCGGGAAAGGCTTCCCAAGGACACGTGGGCATGTGGTTCCCAAACCCGTGTCCGTCAGAATCGAGGCCCCATGAGCGCCGTACAGCTCAGTAATCAAGGCATTTCCTTTCAGGCCTGCGCTTTGGTCCAAGAAAATCTTTTGGGTTTTCAGAAAGTTTTACTGACTCGGGCAAACCCTTCTTTGCTGGCGCCTCCTGCCTGACCAGGGTTACGGGAGGATTCTTTGGGCCACACCCAAAGGGGTATGAATCAGGGACCGGGGGTCCCGGGAACTGGCCTCAGAAGCCCGCCTCCCAGAGCCCAGGGCCTGTCAATCCACGTCCGCTTATCCGGTCGGAGATGGGAAATGCAAGGAATAAGGGGGTCCGTGGAGGGAAGGGATGAGGACAGGGTCCTCATTTACCACCTGGCAGCATGGCCTTGGGCAATCACTTGATTTCTCCGAGTTGCAGTGATTTCCCCAGAAATCTGAGATTATGCTATAAACCTCTGAAATGCTTAGCTTCATGTGTCCAGTACCTCGCCCTGGGCCTGGCATTTAGTAGGTGCCTAATATGTGCATGGATGAGTAAGTGAGTGAAATGTCTCGGCACCTCCCTCGGTGGGCTCTCCTGGGAAGCCGTGAGGCCGCTGATGGCCGCTCAAGGGTGGTTGCCTGCATTTGTAAGAACCAGCCACGAGAATTCCCTGGAGGCCAAGTTCAGGAAGAGTTGGGGAGCTCAGATCTCGGGAGGTGTCCACGGTGGGTGGCCCGGTGGGAAGTGAGTTCCCTGTTTCTCGAGGGGTTCACATAGGGGCTTGCAGTGCTTGGATTAGCTGGCTGCCGAGCACCACCCTGAGGTCCGGGGACGTCCAGGCTGCCCCCCATCCCCGACCCCCCACCCCACCACCATCGCTGCGTCTTCACACCTGTGGGGCTTCTGGAGAAGTCCGTCACACACAGTGTCATGTCCTAGCGCTGCTATAGCAAAATACCACAACGTGGGTGTTTTGAAACAACAGACATTGTCCCCTCACCGTTAGGGAGGCCAGAAGTCCTACTCGGGGAGTTGGCAGGGGCCCCGCTCCCTCCGAAGCATCCAGGGGAGGATCCTTCCTTCCCCCTTCCTGCTTCTGGTGGCTGCGGGCAGTCCTCCACATTCCTGATTGTAGACTCGTCTATCCAGGCTCGGCCTCTTTGTCCCTCGGCCTCTTCTCTCTATGCCTGCGTGTGTCTGTGGCTCTGTTTTCTCTTATAAGGACTCCAGTCATGTTGGATTTAGGACCTACCCTAGCCCCTTATGGCCTCATCTTAACTAGCTGTATCTGCAGACACCCTGTTTCCAAACAAGGTCACGTTCTGAGGTTCGGAACTGTCAGGACTTCGGGGGGGGGGCACACCCTACTTAGCCAAGTGCGCATGTTCTTACACTGGGTGCTTCCCTATGTTATGTGGGTTCCCTGTGCCCCTTACCTCTCCCAGCTGCACGGCGTAGGGGATCCCTTTGGGAGCTAGGGTGTTTCCCCTGAGACCCCCCTCCCCACAGCTGCTGGCTCTCAGAGCAACGTGGAGAGCCTATGGGGAGGGGATGGGAGGGGGCAGTTTCCAGCCACCAAAAGGGTCACCCCCTGTGGTCACCTGTAGTCCGCCCCCGTGGGCGTGGCTTGGATGCTGCCCCTAAGGTGGTCTGGCCCCAGGGCCGTCTGCACACAGCTCAGCTACCCTGCCAGTGATGTCCTTTCTCCCGTCCCCTCTGCCTGCCCGCGTGTTTGTGTATTTATTTGTTCATTTTGGGGTTTGCAGAAGCGGGAAGGCCTGCTGCATTCCAGCCACGTCACGGAGGAGCTGACCACAACAACGGAGTAAGTGGACCCCAGCTGGGGACCCGCACAGACGCAGGGGCCCATTTCCACGCACGTCCCTCAACCCAAGGATGAGGTTTTCACACAAGCGCTGTCCTGGCTTTATGGCCTGCACCCACTTTCTTCAAAGATTTTTTTTCTCTTCTCTGGTGAGGAAGGGCAAGATTGCCGTTTGGTTTGGTATTTAAATGAGAAATTCTCCCAAATAGAAAAATACACAAACTACGTGCGGCACAGGAATTAGAACTTACTGAAGCTGCCCGAAATCTTTTCTGGAGTGGCACCGAGAATGATAAGCAAATAAAAATATAACTGATCCTATTCAGCATCTCTTACAAGGAAGAAAAGGCTAAGGGGAATTTAAAACATCGAGCTTTTGTAGGGTAGGTATGCTAGCGTCTTCAGAGTTTTCCGTGTGAGGACGGATTCTTCTACGAAGCCTTTGGATGTTTATTCCTTATTTTAGAAGGCGAACTTCAAGAATGTTGGGTGGGGGGAGGAGGTGTTCAGAATGGTTAGGGACTCCTTGTCCCCGCTCATTTATCTGTCCGTGCCTCAGCTCTGTTGGAGAGGGAGCCACCCTTCTGAACTAGAACTTCCCTTTGAGAGACAGCTGAGCCGTCGCTCATCTCTTAGAGAAAGCCAGAGGGCAACTTTTAAGAAGTCTAAAAGGCTTCAAATCCATTGAACGTAGCAAATCAAATGGTCTATTTTGCGTGTAGCTTTTAGGCGCCCCCGTGGCACCCTGTTAAGGATCTTTAAAATTCGCTGCATTTGTGACTCTCCACCAAACCCGGTTCAGATGAAACAGAACATTAAAGATTGATCGTCTCCGTGAACCCTCCCGCTCCGTTCATGGAGTGATTAATTACTGGGTCACCAACTGACGTCCAGTCTTTCACAGATCCAGGCCTCACGGGAGACCACTCCTGGCGAGGGAGCTGCCGGGTAAATTGGGGAGCCATTGCCATGCGATAGGCAACACGTCTGTTCCAAGCCCATGGGGATTGGGGGTGGGGGAGGGGCGGCATGAAGGACAAGGGGCCCGGTGCTCGGCCTGGTCTATAGTGGCTGTCAGGCCTGGCCTGTTTGGGAGCAGGAGGAGGGGAACGAGGAGTGGAGTGGTGTCTTAGTTATCCATAATTGTGTAGCAAACCACCCCAAAACCAAGAGGCTTAAAACGACAGTCCCTTTAGCTGCTGACGGTGCTGTGAGTCAGACCGGGCCGGGCTCAGCCGGGCAGGCGTTCAGTTCGTCCGGTGGTCGGTGCTGGCTGGTGGCAGGCCTCTGTCCCTGCCCCTGTGCCTCGTCCTTAGGGAGCCGGACTTCCTCCCAGGTGCCCTCAGGGTTCTGACCCCCCCCCCCCCACACAGTGTCCTCATACTCTTGTGGGTCAGAGCAAGGCACAAGGTCATCCGAGGTCGGAGAGGGGGAGACGCACTGCCGGGCCCGTTGCAGTGGGCGGGCATGCAGCCCTGGGAAGGAGCGTGGCCCCCTCCTGCAGTCCCCCATGGGGTTTGGTGACCTGAGGGAGGGCAGCTGGGGGAGCTGGGAGCTCTGGAGTCGGGGCTAGTGGGTGGGCGAATGGCCCCGACAATTCACAGCAGTCACCAGCACGAGGGCCTCCTGTGCCGGGCACTGTGCTGGGCGCCCGAGAGGCTAAGGGGTTTGGGACGAGGGCTGGCGGTCTAGCTGGCCAGAAAGGCCGTGTCCGTAGAAATGTGAATTCCAGCCCAGGCAGCTTGTAGGAAGTACTGTGTGGCCCCAGACTCAGCCTCCTGCCTGGTCTCCCCAACTCTGGGCTTGCTCTCCCCAATCCCTCCCCCTCTGTGTGGCCATAGGGGATCGGATGGAGCATCTGAATCATCAGGTGTCTGCAAAAACCACAAAGTACTGCCCCACCCGCTCGCTGGCCTTCCTGCTCTATCTGGCCTTGGTGCTCTGGCGGCCCACCCTCCCGCAGCCCCAGAGACTCTCCCCACCTTCTGTCTAGCCTCCGCCTCCTGTCCATTTCTCTAGAGCCGGCTCCGAGGTCCCCTTCTCCAGGAAGCCCTCCCTGTTTGCCAAACACAAGTGGGCTGATTTCCTTTTAGTTCCCATAGCGTCTCCTATATGTGACACTTTGGGTACCCATGGGCTGTGTTGAAATGTGGGCTTATGGGCAGGGCCACGGGGTTTATGGGAACGGGGTGTTTATTTCTGTATTTCCATGGCGTGCACATAGTAGCTGCTCAAGAGAATGCTGTTAAATAAGATGGAGCCTAAGGGGCTTGAGTCTAGAGGGATTTGGGGGTGATATAAAGACCTCCTTGCCTCTCAGGAGGCTCATGCAGGGGAGGACCTGTGCACTGGGGTTGTCGCAGTCCTCATGGAGGGACTAGCCTCTGTGCCTGGTGGTTTCAGCCTCTGCCTGCTAGACTCAGGGCCCCAGTCTGTGATTCTTCAGCATCCCTGAGTTTCGTGATTCCCTGAATGTGCAGCGTGCTTGCTCACCACAGTGGGACCCTTGGGTAATCTGCACCCTTGGACTTCAAAGCTTCCCATTCAGCGGCTCCAGAAGACCCCGTTTTCTGCTGAACTGTTCTGCCTATTAACTGCTCCCATGATTTCAATTCCCCCCCAACTGGTATTACAGGGGTGGTTTAATTGAAGGTGGCCACTTGCTGCCGATCTTGTGCAGACATTTAGAAATCCACACACACACTTGTCGTTTGAATTAGAGGGACAGAGAATCTGTTAAAACAGGATTTACATTTTTACAAAAAGCCCTTCAACAGGGCAATTTGGGGTTCCCTTCATCGTGACCTCACCACACTGTGTTCTAAGCGACCCACTGACGGCTCTCTCTCTCTCTCTGTCCTCGTTTGCAGGATGATGATGGGTCGCTTCGGTAAGTACCTGTGGGGGTGGGGGGCCCGAGGTCACGGGCACTTTGGGGCTGTGGCAGGAAGCTCCCGGATGCGTGGATACGCGCTGTCACATGGGGGTCAGGGCCTGCAGGACCCCGTGGGGTCTCCTGTAGCTCCCCCTGGAGCCTGTCTGCTTCTCCGACCTGCCACAGGCGGCGGTGGGGGGTGGAGAAGAAGAGTGTAGTGGGGGGTGGGGGGGTGGTTATTCCCGTTAGTTTCAGTGACTGTTCCCAAAGAGCTGTTCCCGACCCTGTGCCAAGCAGCATGACCCCATCTTCATCTCAGCAAGGGGTGGCAGATCACAGGACAGCTTGGGGCCGCATTTAAACCCTTGGGGTGGGGAGTGTGTTGTCCCGTGGGTCCCCCCCCGCCCCCCGCTCTCTGCCGCAGCCAGAGGCCATGTGAGTGAGCTCATTGCTTTGGGGGATATTTCAAAACAGAAAGCCCTCCACCCCCCAAATACCACCTTCTGCAGTGAGCACAGCTGTTAGCAGGGGAAGTGGAAGCCAAGTAGAAGTTTTCCTGCGTGCCCTTCGAGCCTGCCCGGCTGGAGCTGGTCCTGCAGCTCTTGGGGGGAGGGGTGCCACCCCGGAGTCAGCCACGGGCCTGGCCACAGGGCCCCGTTCCCTCACGGGTATCACAGGGAACCATGGCACGCCACTGTTGCTTGGTTGTGAAGAGGGGACGTGGCTCCCGGTGATGTCCTCAAACTTCTGCAGTAGGCCGAAGGCCGCGCTGGGCAAATTCACCATCTTCACAATTTTTAAGTAGCAATCCGGTCCTTTTTACATGTCTTTGTTATTTTTAAAGAAAGGGAGAGAAAAGGCAATGGGGAGTGGGGCGGGCGTGGGCTCCCGGAGAGGACAAGGCATCAGGCCCTGTGTCCGAGGGGGGCCATCAGAGCATCATTAAGTGCTTTTGATTTGCTGGGCGATGTCCTGTCCCTGTTTGGCACAGGCCTAGTTCGAGGTTTGGGGGACCCAGGAGCGTCTGTTCTGCGGGGGGCTGTGTGCCACTTCAAGGGGGCAGGGGCTGGGCCGAGAAGCCCCCTCGGCCCTGCGAACGGCGCATTAGGGTCTGGGGTACAGGGTGGCGACTCGCTGGGAAAGAGCCTGGTGTCACAGTATGAAAAATGGATTCAGCCACTGTGTGAACGCGGGAGATGCATGAGCCTTCGGGGCCATGGAACCACGAGACGCCGGTGAATGTTATTATGTTATAGGCTCGCCCTGCTTAGCAAACGCGAGCAGGCTATTAGCGGGTGACAGGTGGTGAGTTCCGCTCCTGGCTTCGGCTAATGCTGGCGCAAGCACCGAGGTCCCCTCGGTACCCAGAGCGGCAGCCTCCGCCGTAGCTGGGCCTCTGCCAGCCCTTCTCCTGTGGGACCCTCCGGGGCCCTTACAGCCCCCTGCCCACCGAGGTTGGACCTCCTTTCTGCCCCCCCCGGATCTTGGTCCCCGGCTTGCCCCTTGAGTTGGGGGTCAGGCTTCTCCTAAGGCACCCCTTTAGCCCTTCACTCCTCCTTACTGTCCACCTTGGCTTAAGCTCAAGCCACAGCCCTGGAGGTGGCCTCCGAGCCCTTCAGACCACCCCTTTGCTTGCCCCCCGCCTCCTCGCTCCCCTGTTCATCCAAGAGCACCCCAGGATACCCCCTCCAGCTCTTGCCCTTGCCCTCTGCTCGGAATGCTCTCCCTCTGGATTCCCCCATTGCTCGCTCTTCAGCTCCTTCTCAGGAGGCCTTCCCTGAGTGCCCTGCCCCCGCCCAGCCTGTCTCTTTACTCCAATCGCCGGTGCTCATAGGGAGCTGCCTGGCAGACTCGGGGCGCTGGGACAGTCTGGGGACCCTTGGCCCCTCCTTCTGTCCCTTTACCCATGGCTTCTTGACTGTAAGCATCCTGTGGGCTGGAGCTGTGTCTTCCTCAGCGTGCATCCCCCGCAGCCGCCAGCCCTGGGCCGCAAACATTCCAGGCGCTTCCACAATGCCAGGTGGACCCTCCTTGGCTCATGTCTGCCTACTGGGTTTCGCAGGGGGTCCTGTTCTGTGCTCATTTCTCACCTGAGCACTCTGAGCTCGGGAGGGAGGGCTTGCCCTGCCCCCTCCAGAAGCCCCCCTTCCCTGAGTCATCCCTCTCCTGGCTGAGGTGGGCTGGGAGGCCCATCTCCCCAGAGGAGCTGGGCGCTGCTGCCTAGTCTCCATGGCAACGGGCTTGCTGGCTGCATCTACATCTCCTCCGCGGGCGGCCCCTCCCCTGCCCTGGGCTTCGGGACAGGGGAGAAGTGGGGGGAAGCTCTCCTCCTCCACTCCCCATGTCCTCCTCGGGTCTCCTCCTTTCTGCCAGCAGAGTTTGTGCCCCCACCGCAGCCTGACTGGGCCACCTGCGCCCCCACTCTCGGGGCCTCCTCGCCCTGCGGGACCCAGCCTCTCTGAGCCTCCCTCACAGGCCACACGGCCTGCAACCCTCCCTGGCTTTCCTGTGCTTCTCTTTGCGCTTTCTGTTCCCTCTGTCTGGAACGCCCTTCCTCCCCTTCTTGTCCCAGCAAACCCCAGCTCCGCCTCGTGTGACGCCTCCCTCCGTCCCCTAGCCCTTTGTCCACGGGCCCCGGACTTGTGGGTGCCTCCAGGGACCAGGCTGCCAGCATGAACGAGGGAAGTGGCTAGAACCCTAGTGGTCTTCTGCCCCTTGGCCTCTGTGTGGGGTGGCAGTGGGGCAGACTGGGGGAGCCCGCACCCCCACTTCCGTGGGCGGCGCGTTGACGCCGGGCAGGCAGGGATGCGGGCTCAGTGTTGCCACACTTCCAGTTCCTGCAGACAAGCCAGAAGTTCCAATTTATATTTTAAAAACGTGGAACAAAACTTTGTTTGGACTGAAGTTCCCACCTGTGAGGGTTGCGCTTGGGCAGACACTGGCCCGTCCCGGCTGACTCGGCCCCTTTCCGTGTCCTTTCTGGCTCGTTTTGGCTACCTGTCCTCTTTGTGCTACCTCAGTTTACCCATCTGCCTCCACCCAGCCTGTGTCCCTCCCTGTTTGTCCCTGTGACTATCCCCAGAGCCTCCAGAGAGACATTAGGGAGGGCTGGGGTCAGAGAGGGCATCGAATGAACTGAGCCCGAGCCCCAGCGCTACGCTTGCCAGGCGGTGGGCTTGTCCCTCGATGAGCCGTGTGTTTCATTCTAACACCAGCCGTGAGCTGGGGACTATTTACTCCCACTTTACGGAGGAAGAAACAGGGTTAGGGAAGGAAGCAAGTGGCCTGGAGTCCCGGCACTTTTGAAGGCGGGCGACCGGGACCTATTTTCATTCCCGAGGCCAGGCTTACCGCAGGGGTGCGGCAGAAGCTGGCTGGGCAATGCTGCTCCCGAGCCCCGGCTGCAGGTAAGGGCTGCGCAGGGGCGGCGGGCCTCCACGCCCTCCCGTGGCTCCCCTGCACGCCTTCGCTCTGTGAGCCCAGCGGTGGCCAGCTAAATATACCCGGCTGACGTCAAGCTCGCTTCTGCTCCCAGGGTTTTTCTCAAGCTGCATTTAAAGTTTGTATTTTGCTTTGTAAAGACTGAGCTTTTTTTTCCCCCCTCTTAGCAGGCTGTCGTATTGAGTGGAATCTGACTTAAACGATTATAAAAATAATTTACAGCTGCCTTGGTAGAAAAGCTGGAGGAGGGGCACTCCGTGGGGTCGGGCCTTTTGGTTGCTGTTGGCTTTTAGGGCAAGGGCGCTGGGCAGTCCTCCCCCCGAACACACGCGCCCTCCACGCGTGTGTGTGCATGCCGTACACACACAGCCCTTCCACCTCTCCCTTCCTCTTTGCCTCACCTTCCCTCTCCCCACCCCCAAGGCCAAGGAGGATGCTACCTGGGCTGGGCTGGAGCTGTGAGTTGCCTCCCCACGCCCTAGACCTGGGACACCCGAGTGCCTTCCTTTTGGGGCCAGGCTGGGGGGAAGGGCTGGGATGCTTCCTCCAGGAGACCTGGTTCTCTGGCTTACTTGGGTGTCAGCCTGTCTTCTCTCTGATTTCTCCCTCCTTCTCCCTCTCCATGGGCCGGGCCGGGCAGTTCTGAAGCAGGCCCTGGGTCAGCTCTGGTTCTGGGCTCCCGGCCATCTCCAGAGAGGCAGTGGAGGCTTCCCACCCCTACCCCACCCAATCTGGCTGGGCTCCCCAGCCTCCAGAACTCCATGCTGGGGTCTGCCCTCAAGTAATAGTGGGTCTGTCTGCTGGCTGAGGTCCTCGGAGCATATGTTGCCCCGGGCACCTTGGGGGGACAGCTAGCTCCTGGAAGACAGAAGTCGGGACCCCAAGGCCTTCCAGATGCCCTCCTCCCTTTCCCTCTCTACCCCGCCAGTGACTCCCCACAGCTCTGCATCCACTCTGAGGCCTCAGTCTTCCTGCCTGGGCTCTGGGCTGCAGCAAGCTTCTGTCCTGCCTCCATGAGGCCCCACCATAGCAACAACAGGCTAGAACCAGGCACCTGGCTCCCGGCCCGCCCGGCTCCTTCTTACCCACTGAGAGCCATGTTGACCTGGCCTCCAGTGGCCTCACGTTGGAAAGGGAAGGGATTGATTCTGTGTTGATTTGGAGCGCACGGCTGGGCCCTTGAGTAGCAGAGTGGGTTGGGGCTCACCGGGAAGAAGGAGGCTGGGTGGGACATGACAGAACAGGCCGCCTGAGGCCCTGCAGGTGCTCCCAAAGAGGGGGACACCCCCAGAAGGATTGCTGGAGAGAGATTCTGGAGCAGGGTTTCCTGGTTTGTTCATTTGTTCTGTGGCAGTGGAGGGAACAAACGAGACAGTGGTTTCAGCCAGCACGGAGCTGAGAGACCAGCAGCTACTGTCCAGCAGATACATGATAATGAGATGTACTCTCAAGTAGTGATTAAGTGCTTTGAGAAGTCTATTAGGGTCAGAGGACAGGTAGTGGGCGTGGGGCACTCTTCTAGATGTGGATGGTCATGGAAGGCCCTTCAGAGGAGGTGACATCTGAGAGCAAGCTGGAGGAAGTGTGGCAGGTGAACAGCAGGTGCAAAGGCCCTGTGGTGGGTGTGTGATGGAGGAGAAGCCGGGGAGCTGGTTGGTGGAGTGAAGTCGGGGAGGGTGCGTGTGTTGGGGGGTGACTGCACCCACTGGATCCCATGGGCCACGGGAGAGGGGATGAATTTTATTCTAGGAGTGATGAGAAGCGGTTGGAGAGTTTTGGTGGGGGCAGGGGTAGAGAGGGGCAAGAACTGATCCAGTCTACAGTGTTCCTGCTAGGAGAAGGGATCAGAGGGCCGGGAGTGGAGGAGGGAGGCCAGCAAAGCAGGAGACTGCAGCCGCTGAGGGCCGTGGGGCTGGTATGGAGCTAGCAGCCGTGCTGATCAGGAGACGTGCTCGGAGGCACTAGCGAGATTTACTGGTACGCAAGGAGTGTGGGGAAGGAGAGAGGCGGGCAAGGGATGCCTCAGGTCGAGGATGTCACGGGTGGATGTCCGAGTGCCGCCTGTGAATTTCACATTACAAGATAGAAATGGGGTTGGGGGGGGACTTAGAAGCATCTTTTCCTTGATTTTGCTCTTCAACCGCACCTGCCCTTGGGTTCTGGCGGGAATGAAGAGGATTCTAGGTGGGCGGGGAGCGTAGGGGCGGGACATCCCGGGAGGTCAGGAGCTGCGTGGTCCCCGGAACGGGCAGGGACATTTCCATAAACCCTACCTGTGCCTCTCCACTTGCCCATGCAGAGCGGGACGCCTTCGACACCCTCTTCGACCACGCCCCGGACAAGCTCAGCGTGGTGAAGAAGGTAAGCTCCAGGCCGGGCTGCTTCCCTCTGTCTCCAGGCTTCTGTCTACAGCATGCACTCCATGCCGGGAAGAAGGTGGGAACGTGTTTGAAATCTCTGAAATGTTTGCCACATGGATTGAAGTGTAATTATAGTCAAAAACGTAACTACAGTGCATAAAATTAGCACCTTTTAACTCAACATCTCTGCTCCCTGGGTATCTTCCTGCCACCCGCCCGCTTCTGTTGAGTGAATTAGCCAGCCAGGCACCACCGTGGCCCTTTATTCCAACTCAAGGCTTTTTCTCAATGTGGAAGTGTTTTTAAGTGTGTCAGCCTGCTGACTCTTGCAGGCCTCATTACCACGAGGCTGTATTCACAACCTGCCCGGTACACAGGCAGGCCTTTGCCGGCTGAACTGCCCCGTGCGTGCGTTTGGCCCATTTCCCTCCACAAAGGAGCGCAAGGACAGGCCCTTCATCAGCCCAGGCAGCCTACGTGTAGGCTACGGATGGAAACAAACAAAAAACATGCGAACTGAGGCTGTGGAGTCAGGGGCTGGGGAATGATGAGCTTCCAGGGGCATCTGCCAGGAGGGCTTGTTCTCACCCAGAAGGAATCGAGACTCAGCTCTCTGCCTGTGGAGTTATCTGAGCACCTGCAGACATCTCACTTGGGGAGCCAGTGGGAGGATGGATGGACTTTCCACCTCCCTGTAAAAAATCCAAGGAGCAGTCATTTCTGCCCATGCCCTAGGAGAGAGAGCTCTTTGTCTAGCACAATTGCCCAGAACAGGTTTCCTAATGCAGGACTTCTCGGGACCTTTAATATGCTGGCATGCGTTTGGAATTCTCCAAGAGGGGACTCGGTAGGAAGGATTTTCCAAACTTGTTTGTCAATGGTTTGATCTGTTTGTTTATCTTGTGATTGAATGTATTAAATTCCCATGGAACCCACCTTTGGAAAATGCTGGTCCAGCCTGGGACAATGAGCTTATTAGTTCTTGGAAGCACTTTGCAAAAGGGTAGCAGAACGATCCTAGTGGTCTTTCTGGGGTGGAGCCTACTTGGCATCCTTGGGTCATGAGTGATGCACCTTGGGGCCTCCAAGCAGTGCCCCCAACCCCTACCCCTGCCACATCTGTCTCTTGACAGAACCCATCCGTGAATGCGCAAGAAGATTCAAATCTGCCCCCCCCCCCCACCTATCAACTGTGTGACCTGAAGCAGATTATAACTCCTACCTCAGTTTCCCCATCTGTCAGGACTGAGGCAGGACCCACCTCTCCGGGGTGCTGTGAGAGTAAAATATCATCATGTCCGTGCAAAGGCCCAGCGCCCAGTACATCGGGTAGCGTTGGGTAGCCATGGCATGGCATGAGGTCTGTCTTTCAGAGATATGATGTTAATTTATTCTTTGAAAAGACGTATTTTAGGCACTAGGGACGAACAAGACAAAATCCTTTCATCTGCCTGACAGCTTCCTACTTCCAGCCTGGCCCTTCCACACCCCCACATTGAGAGTTGCTGTGTTGGTGGCTCCTTGTACCCCAGAATAAAAGCAGGGGGACCCTGTCCACTTCTCCAGGGTCACCCGTCCTACTCTCTTCCATCCCGTCCACATCCAGATGCAGCCTGAAGATCCCAAAGTGTTTGCACATGTGCTCGGGGCCTGGGTGCCCGCTCTACCCGCCCCTCCACTCCCATCTCCCGTTTGGCCTGCCCCGCAGGCCCACTCAGATGCTCCCTCCCTCAGCAGCCTGCGGGGGGACACACGCCTCTCTTTGTGCTCAGCAGAGCTCCCCTCCGTGGCACGTCTCACACGCTGGGCCTGGCCCTTGATTTCTCTGTCATCCCCACCAGGTACATATATGTGTAAGCTTGACCTCAGGGAAGCAGGGCCACCGGCCTCTCCTCTCTAGCAAAAGTTTAAAACTTGTCACCTGTAACTCTTCTCACCCAGCAAACCCAGCTTCAGGGGGACGCAACACCAGCCAGCCGCCTGCCTGGCCGGTAGTCGCTTGTCTTTCCTTTTTCGTGGTAGTCATATTTACTGGGCGTCTTGTCCGTGGGTGGGGTTTTTGTGGCTGGTGTTGCGTCCCCCTGAAGCTGGGTTTGCTGGGTGAGAAGAGTTACAGGTGACAAGTTTTAAACTTTTGCTAGAGAGGAGAGGCCGGTGGCCCTGCTTCCCTGAGATCAAGCTTACACAGGTCACTGAAGCGGATGAGTGTGGCCCCTCAGGTCGGCCTTCTCTCATTCCAGGTTGCATCTAAGATGCATCTAAAAACCCAGTTGTCTCCCCCTGACGGTTTTATCCTTCTTGAGGTAGCTGATTGTTCTTCTACAGGATTGTTAAACATGTACGTGTGTGTGGATAAGCACATGTGTGCCCAGGTTGGCGGACAGAGATGCACGTTCTTCTCCAACGGGGGCGGATGGAAGCATTATTCCATTAAAAACCAAGGGTCGCTGTGAGAACCCGAGCCTTTTATTTTAGCAAACGGAGGAGATGATGGGACCGTCTGACAAAGCCGGTGATGCCCAATGTCCGGTCCATCCCGTCGGATGGGAACGGAGGAGCGGACTCTCTCACTCACAGCTCCTGTGTCTTTGCCTTCACAGTCTCTCATCACGTTTGTGAACAAGCACCTGAACAAGCTGAACTTGGAGGTGACGGAACTGGAGACCCAGGTGAGCAGTGCTCCGGGGTTCGTGTTTTCAGCCAGCTCTTGATCCCTGGTGGCAGGCGCCATCTTGTTCGTCTGACAAGGAATGGCCACCCAGCAGTTGGGACAGCAAAGCCCAGCTTCTCTGGCCTTCTCTCGGGCCCTCTGTCTTAATTTCCCGTGGCTGCTGGAACCAAGTCCCACAGACGGAGTGGCTTAAACCACAGACATTTCCATCCTCACCATCCTGGAGGCTGGAGTCTCAGACCTATGTGGGCAGGGCTGTTTCCTTCTGAGGCTGTGAGGGGGTCTCTGTGCCAGGCCTCTCCCCCCGCTGCAGGGTTTTGCTGGTGATTCTTGGCTTCTGTTGGGTTGTAGACGCCCTGCCGGGATCCCTGCCTTCATGGTCACGGGACACTCCCCCCGTGTGTGCGTCTGTGTCCAGATTTTCCATTTTAGTAAGGACACTGGTTGTGTTGGATTAGGGCCCATCCTGGTGACCTCATCTTAACTCCGTTACTTTCAGTAATTACTTCTTCCAAATAAGGTCACGTTCACAGGTTCTGCGGGTTAGGACTCCAACACATCTTTTTAGGGGGACACAGCTCAACCCTAACACCCTCTGAGGCGTCACGCCTCCCCCACCGAAGGGCCTTGGCAGGTGCAATTCTTTAAGTCTAGAACGTTCCGCGCCCTCCCCCTCACCCCGCTTCTGTTCTCCATCGCCATGCTTACTGCGCAAGTGCTCGCCGAATACCTGTCCAGTGAGTGTGCACAAAATATTTCTTCTGCGGGAAGTATATAAAGTATACTCCCCCACTCCACTCAAAGCTCACGCCGCATAGTAAAAATATGTTTCAAGCACTCAGCAGGCATCAAAGCACAAAATATAATTTTCCCAGGATTAGGTGGGTGCTCGAATTCGGAGTCGTTAACAGTTCTTGGTGCAGATTCCTCTAACCCCCAGCTGATCCTTCTTAAACCCCTGGGTGATTGCCTCCGTTCCTGTCTCTTTCTTTGCCTTTTCTCATTTGCTTTTCTAATTAAAAAAGTAATTCAGTTCGTTGTAGAATGTCTGAAAATGCAGATAAGCAAAACAAAAATCATTCCTAATCCCAATGCCCAGAGATAACTGTGCTGAGGGTTTTGTTCCGGACCTTTCCTCCACCTGGCTGGCTAATCACGGACTGCATGGGTCTGTCCTGGAAAGCCAAATGGACTGTTTTTAATGAGTATATTTACCTGTGCATCATTTGTCGCAGTTTATGAACATTGCACACTTAGCCTCTGATACTTACCATTCGGTATATTAACAGTCCCGAAGTGTCCTAACCTAAAAGTAACAGTCCTCCTTTCTCCCTCCCCACCGTCTCCCCCCTTCATCCTCTCCAGACCTACCTGACTGCAGTTAACGGTGGGATGTGGGCTCTTCTAGATGTTTTTTTACATGCACAAGTATATTTTGTTAATGACAGTGGGTCATACCGTGCGGCTCTTTTCGTAATGTGTTCTTTGTTACGTAGTTCTATTGTCAGCATCTTCTTGTTGGAGGCTGTGTGCGTGATTCCATCTCATCCTTTCTCCGTTGCCCGGTCTGTCTGTCTGTCCATACTGGTCGCCCCTGAGGACTGCCTTCTATTCCATCCTAGTGCACTGCGTGAAGCCCGCTCCTCGTGATGAGGCGCTTCCCACTCTCGTGACGGGTGGTGCGGGGGCTCTCTGCACTCAGCTGGTGGTGCCTCCGTCTGCTTCGTCAGGACACATTCCTGGAAGGCAGTGATGCTTTGAGGGCCCAGGAAGGGCCTGCCTGAACGTCCTGGGCCCTGCGAGCCATTCCCGACTCTTACTTCCAGGTTGGCCCACGTGCCAGCAGGAGTCGCCGGACACCCCGGACTGAGACTCTGCACCTCAGTTTGCATTGATCTGGATGTACCCAGTGTCTCCTTTTTTCTCTATCACCACACTTAAAGTAGTATCTTATAAGCGTTTTTAACCAGTGGTCCAGCAGAAAAGAGGTAGTTTTATAAACAATGTTCATCATGAGGGAGACCTGGGCTCAAAGCCCTGCTCAGGGGTGTGTGTGTGTGTGTGTGTGTGCGTGCGTGCGCACATTCATGTCTTTTTTCTCCTTTTTAAAACCACTTCTATATTCTGGGCAACTTCCTAGCTGTGTGATACTGAGCCAGCTACTCAGCTTCTCTGAGCTTCTCTCCTTATGTTGAGGGGGCAGCAGGTACAGGGAGGCTTAGTGAAGGTCATGCCTTTACAAGCTGGGCGTTGGTGAAGACAGTGCCGTGGGAGCCGTGGGGCATCCGTGGGGGTCTGAGGTAGAGCACACCCCCACCCAGGACTAATGTGTGCTCTCGGGAGTGTGAGCTGGAGGGTCGGTTTGCTGATAAGCCGCTGTGCTCTCCTGGCTCTCACTCTCCCGGGCGCCCCTCTCCCTCCGTGCCTTCCTCTGCAGTCACCATCTCTCCCACCGCCCCATGCACGAGGGGACTGGGGCTGGGCTCGGGGATGCTGTGGAAGGGAGCAGAGGCTCCCTACACCTCCTGGGCAGGTGCTGGGGGCGGGATCTTCATTCGCGGACGGCATGGAAATGGGCCCATGCTGTGGAGAGAGCCGGTTTCTTTGGGCCTGTTGCTGGCTCGGTGTCAGCGGGGGGAGTCCAGAGAGCCGTCCTCGGCAGGCCCGGGAAGGACGGCGTCCCTCTGCCTTGCGCTTTGTGTCTTCGCTCCCCTTCCCCTTTCAACGTGGTGATACTGGACACTTGCGATTTGGACTTTTCATCTTTAAATCGGAGGCCTTGGTGGCCTGCCTAGGATGGTGGAGGGAGCTATTTTCAGTAAAGTCCTCCTTCGGCTCATCAGTTTCCAGAGCTGAAGGGCTCCTGGGTGCCCAGCCCCTCACGGCTGTCCTGCTGTCCTGCGTGGCGTTCTTCTAGACCAGGGGTCCACGCCGGCCAAGAGAGCTTCCTTTTAGTGATGAAGGGGTCCTGTCGGCACACGTCTGCTGCAGGAGCCGCCTGCCGCAGGTGGCCGCTGAGCACCTGAAATGTGGCTGGTGCGACAGGAACGGAATTTTGTATTTTCGTTAATTTAGACATTTTTTCAGTTTAAGAGTTCTGGAACTTGGTTATGTAATAGCGTGAATGTACTTAAGACTGAACTCTATGCTTAAAAATGATTAATATGGGGCCCCTGGGTGGCTCAGTTGGTTAAGCGACTGCCTTCGGCTCAGGTCATGATCCTGGAGTCCCGGGATCGAGTCCCATATCGGGCTCCTTGCTCAGCAGGGGGTCTGCTTCTCCCTCTGACCCTCCCCCCTCTCATGTGCTCTCTCTCTCTCATTCTCTCTCAAAATAAATAAATAAAATCTTTAAAAAAAATGATTAATATGGTACATTTTATGTATGTTTTATCACGACTAAAAAAAAAAAAAAAGTCAGCATACGCCAGACACAAAAGGATAAATCTTGCGGCAAATTCACAGAGACAGAGGGCAGAGTGGTGGGTGCCAAGGGCTGGGGGAGGGGGAGGGGGAGTTGGTGTTTAATGGGCACAGTTTCGGTTTTGCAAAATGATGTGAGTGCTAGAATGGATGGTTGGTTGGGTGGATGGATGGATGGATGGATGGTTGCACACAGTATGAATGGACTTCATGCCAATGACCTGGATATTTTAAAATGGGTAAAATGGTAGACTTCATGTTATTATATATATTTTACCCCAGGAAAAATAAACCAGCAACATTCAAACAAAAAAATGTCTAATTTCAATAGGTGCGTGTGGCCAGTGGTGGTCATGTTGGACAGCTCAGTTTCAGACATCTGGAGGCTGGGGTCTTCATAAATACTGGCCGTGCAGTGGACCCCAGCACGTCTCGGCCCCTCAGAGATGCCATCTCTGTGCTCTGTGGGGCCTTCATCGGTCTCCATTGCTTTATCTTTAAAAGGAGTAATTGTTCCCTGGCTAATTGGGGGTGGGGGAGGGCTGTCTGCCAAAGAGTGGGGCCTTTTGTTCTAGATTCCTGGTCCCTCTCCTGTGGATGGATGGTGCTGCTGGGCTGGTGGCAGGGAGAGGGGTCCGGATTGAGGGCTGTAGCCTGCAGGCCTTTCCCTGACCCAGCGCGGCCCGGTGTTCAGGGCCCAGCTGGGATGGACACTAGAGGCTCATCTAGATGGTCAAAGGCTCATGGTCACCAGGGCTCGAGCAGGGGAAAGTGTCTGGCACTGTGAGCATAGCTAGAAGAAGGTGCTCAGACAGCTGACAAGGTGAGCAGGTGGAACAGGGCAGCAGAACCCAAACCAAAGCATAGGGCACCTTGCAGGTCATGCATGGATGGATCATTCCAGAAGCCGACACCGATGGGGTGCTCACTGTATGCTGGGTCCTCATGCCAACCCTGAGAGATGGGAGCCAGTGTTACCTCGAGGTCAATAGTGGGGGGACGGGCCTTGTGGCCAGGCTGCCTGCTTCCAGAGCCGTGGCCCTATTCACGTGGATGCACTTCAACCCCAAACACATGCGTGGCCACATCCAGTCCTGAGCGAGATGCTCTGCACCCGGGTCCTTCACCTAATTCCAGGTTCATGCCTGAGCGAGGCATGGATTTCATACTTTAAAACATTTTCCTCCTTTGGAATGAATGCAGAACATTCACCACCTCCCTGTACAGCCCGGAAACATCAGCACGTGTTTCTCTGTAGTTTGCAGATGGCGTCTACCTGGTTCTGCTCATGGGCCTTCTGGAGGACTACTTCGTGCCCCTGCACAACTTCTACCTGACCCCAGACAGCTTCGACCAGAAGGTACGTGTGTGGTCTCCATCCTCAGAGCAGCCCCGGATGTGCTCGCTAAAGTGCACAGCCTAGACCTGCCCCCCATGGCTCTTTTTGGAGTCTAGCTGGAATCTTCAAAAAAAATAAAGCTGTCCCCAAAATGGTACTGCAGTGAGACGTAACCCAACCCTCAGTCATAGAAGTAAACCCTTCAGCAGTGCCAGACACACCCGAGCACCATGTGCCGTGTTCTCTTCGGGGTCTTTCCCATGGGACGGTATCGTTTTTAATCATGGTGGTCGGATGTTGTAAACTTGCAGATCCTTCCACTGTTGATGCCATGCATATGCACCTCTGGTTTTCCCAGCTGCTTCCGACCTCCCCAAATGCTGTCCTCAGTGGTGGCTCAGAGTCCCGTGGCTCTGACACCGCTGTCTCCCTGTTCCCCCCACTCTTGGACAATTAACTTGTTTCTGTTTTTTTTTTTCCCCATTAAAATAATAGGGCATCTTCTCGAGTCCATCTATCTATCGATCGATCTCTCTGTCTGTCTATCTATCTCTAGTCCTGTGGATTGTTTTCTAGGGGACATTCCCCACGGAGGATTGTTGGGGTCAAAGGGCCTAACCTTTGGATTCGAGTTGCTGAGCCCCCCGTGTCCCTGTCTGTGCCTGGGTGTTTGGCCTGCTGCTCCGGGCTCCCCGGAATGCAGCCTGTCCAGACAGTAGTTAGCGCATTGCCTTTAGAAACTTGGCTTTTGCACTGTCCGTATTGCTTCGGACTCACGGGCATCTGTCATTGGATTTTCCCAAAGTGCTAGACCCGTGAGTCAGAGAGGCAGACAATGCTAGCAGGTGGTGGCAGCCAGGGAAACATCCGGTAACGGGGCCAGTGTTTATCAATCTGCATACTTCTAGCACCTTCCAGGCTGTTCACTGGCGGCCAAATGTTGTTCCTGCCTCGCCTGCTGAGATGGAATCAGAACAGATTAGAGAGGGCCTGGCACGGGTGAGCCAGGGCGAATGGAGAGAGCACGGGCCAGAGGGGAGCGAGCAGGACTCCATCAGGAAGCAAGGGTGCTTGTGCTGTTGTTCTGGAAATGAGAACACAGATGATGTGGGGAAGAGGCTCATGCGTTTCCAGGCCCGGTGGGGCTGGTTGCAGAAGCATTGTTGGGGGAGAGAGATTTCCTTTGTTCAAATTAATAACGATGCCGGCAGGAACGGTGAATCGAGCCAAGGGGCCGGAACTGGGTTGTTTTTTTTTTTCCCAAGATGAGACTGTGCACATGGCAGGGTAGGGGAGCCTTCTCTCCGGGCCCGGCCTTAATTCCTTTTGCAACAGGGGTGAAAATTTTTGTGGGTTGCCGCCCTGGCCTGGGAGGTGTGAGAGGCCCGAAGCACCGTCCGCCTTTGCTTTGCCTCTGCCCGAGAGCCCTGAAGGAAAGGCTGTTTTAGGGGCAGCGTCCAGCATGCTGGGAGCCCGTTCACGCTCATGAAGGGGTGGCTCTGCTCAGGGAGGACGCTGGAATTCCAGTGCATTCTTATCCAGCTTCCTGGATTCTCTCCCTGCCCCCCTGGGGAGTGATGGTCATCATGGCAGCTACTGGCAAGTTCTTTGTGAGCTCGTCATATTTATTAGCTCATGACCGGTTCACGGGCAGTGGCGTCTCCCTGCTGCACAGACCTGAGCTCGCTCCAGGCTGGGCCCCGCAGCCGAGCTCTCGGGCCGTGGTGGCTGCAGGGGACCTCGCACTGGGTATCCCCTGGGGGACCAGGCTGCGTGGGGCGCGTTTGCCCCGATGCTGGGAATCTACAGCAGCTCTGCATTTCCCGAGGGAGGGCACCAAGGGCCGGTGAGCGAAATCAGACACGTATCAGGGGATGCTGTCCCCCAGCGGAACGATGACCCATGTTTTTTAAAACAATTGCACTAGATTTTTAAAAAATGAGACCAGACCCCCTAGGTTCCTGCACACAGACACACGGCACCCTTTGAGCTTTCTGAGACGTGGATACGACCCGTGGCTTTTTGTTTTATAATCTTACTCCATGGGAGCCACTTTGCTGAGTACCTTGTGCCCATCGATCATCTTTCTGGAAGATTCCACAGCATCCCTCTCTCTGGGGAGTGGAGTGCGTCCTGGAGACTCAGGTTCTTACCAACAAATACAAGAAAGGGCTTCACATTCTCAAAGTGCTTTCCCTTCTATCCCCTCATCTGATTCCCTCCCTTGGGACGAGGAAACGGGATCTCAGAAGAACCGAGAGACAACCCAATCTTCCACATTCAGCAGGGCACAGGTGGAGGAGCCCACTCCTATTCTAGAACCTTCTATTCTTCTGTCACTTGGCCAGGTTTTCAAAAATCCCTTGACTTGCAGAGGGACAGGATTTTAGGGCATCCTGGCTGTGTGGCTGGCTCCCAGTTGGTGGCATGGGGCTTTGGGGCACGGCGTGTGGCCTGGTCCTCTCGGGTCTGGGGAGCTGTTTGCTGCTCTGTCTGCCCTGTCCTGGGGGCCTGGGCTCAGGGGTGGCTTCTCTGCAGGCATGAGGGGTCGGTAGAGGTGAGGACATGGCTGGGACGAGAGCAGGGTGGCGGTGACTTCCTGTCGGGTGGTTTCCTCAGACTGAGAAGGAAGCAGAAGGAAGTCTTGCACTACGGAGAGGTGGGTCTGGGCGAGAGCTGTTCTTGGTGTGGGGCAGGCGTGGGGTTTCAGGAGGCCGACGTGCTCAGCGCCGAGCACTTTTGAGGAGCCGTCTCTCCCTGGCCTAACTCGTCTCAGCCCTGGGGCCTCCTCCGAAAAGTGGCCTTGGCGCATCCCATGGCCCTTCCTCTGGGCTGGGCTGGCTCTGTACACCTAGACGTCTGACACCCTGCTTGGCCTTTTCCAGAGGGCCTCGGGAATGGCCCAGGGTCCTCCGGGCCCCCTGCATCTGGTCATGTGCAGCCCCGCCCAGCCCTGGTGTGAGGGGCCTGCAGGGTCCGTCCCCACACGGGGCCCCTCCGAGCACCACCTGCCCAGTGCTGGTGCTGCCGAGGGTCCTGGAGGCCACTGCGCGGTCCCTGAGCTGCTGGGATTTTGACCAACAGCGGGTTATTTTGTCAAACATCGTTTTCCTGGTTAATTATTAAACTGTAAGTAAAATGATCATGTTTCTGGCTCATTTACCCTGAAATCATGAAGATATTACTGTTGAAAGGATATGTGATTACCAAGAGCCCCGGGGTCCTCTCTAGCTCTGACTCTATGATTTATTTTATTTTTGGTGCCCCCCCCATCCTACCCCCTAACAGCCTTTGCTCCCAGATGGTTGGCTGTGATTTGGTTGATCACCCGGCGTCTCTGTGATTCAGGTGGATGAATGCAGCAGAGGAGGTGTTATTTTAAACCTCTTCAGAAGTTGTTAGTGGAATACAAGCTTCCAGCATCCTCGTGGGCTGAGTGGTACCTTTCATTTCAGGGAGAAGCCATGTGGGGGTTGGGGGTGGGGTGTCCACCTTCTGTGACATCTAGCAAGTCGAGGCCAGGACCAGGGCCCTGCTGCCTGCCCCCTGCAGCCACCATTGGGCTGACTTCTGTTCCCGCAGGGTCCCCAGTGCCTGCCCAGTGCCTGGGCCACCACTGCCCCGAGAGTGATGTCCTGCCCACAGTGATGCACACGCAGCTCTGGGAGGCCCTCCCAGCACGTGGTGGGTGGCCGCTCTGTGCTGGGGATGGTGCATAGCGCTGGGTGCCTCTGGGAAGTGGCTTGTCCTCTCTGAGCCTTGGCTTCCTCGTCTGTAAAAGGGACAGGGTCACGGTCACTTCTCATCGTGTGGCCTGTGACAGAGCAGACACTTGGAGACCCCGGAGCCCTCTAGGGCAAGCTTTGTGCCTTCAGCCCTGCATCTCTGAGCTGCCCCCTGATCTCTGGTGAGGGGAGTAAGGACCACCTAGTGAACGTCTTCTCCCGACGCCCCTGCCCACCCCGTGCCCTGCGTGGCGCCGCTTGGGTCTGGGAATGTGCCAATTCTATTCTTGCTTCCTTGGCAGGTCCACAACGTGGCGTTTGCCTTTGAGCTGATGCTGGACGGAGGGCTCAAGACACCCAAGGCTCGCCCTGAAGGTAACGCCCCGCCCCAGCCCCGCCAACCCCAGCTCCCGTGCCCCCTGTGCCCTTAGCTTCAGGGACCAGGAGGACTGTGCTGGCGGAAGCACCAACGCTGGTCTTTAGTAGCTGCTTGACTTGGAGGACATGACCTCTGCCCAGGAGCCTCGGAGTCTGCGCGCCCCTGCAGGTGCCGGGCTCAGGCTAGAGATGCTGTTTCACGCCTTGCAAGGATATTAAAGGCTTGCCGCAGTTTGATGAGTGTTGGGTTGATGTCCCTGCAGGGATGAGGCACGGTCATGCCACGTGTGGGTCCGAGCCACAGCGGGGAGGTATGGGCAGCCGGTGGTGGGACCACCAGGGCAGGGAGGCTGGGGAGCCAGGAGCAGGCCTGGCTTAGCCCCCTGCAGCCCCTTCCTCAGACCTGCGCATTCACAGAGGGCATCGGTCCTGCCGGCTGCCTCTGGTTCGGTAGCTGCTGGTCTCCTCCCACTGCAGTGTTGGCTGGCCCCGGGGCGGGGTGGGAGGTGGCTGGGGCTGAAGCCTCAGGCCTGGGAGACCGGGAGCCCTGGGTGCATGTGTGAACCCTCGAGTTCACTGTGAGGGTAAACTGGCCGGCAGGCTGTTTCTCCTCAGTGAGTCTTCGTCTCGTTTGCAAAGGCAAGGCAGGAAAGACGGTTGTGCCGGCTCTTCCTGCTTCCCCCCTGCTCTGACAAGCTGAGATTGGAGACACTCTGGGCCTCGGTATAAGGACAGTTGTTGGTTCACGGCAACCGCTCAGCCAGCCTTCCTCTGGAAGAGATGCTATTTCTTGCTCTGGGGTTGAGTACCTGCAGGGGGAAAGCAAGATCACGATCTTTCCGTGGCCCGAGAAGGGCCTTTGGCATCATTTGATCCGATGGGCCAGTTTTATAGGCAAACAGCCTAAGACCCAGAGCAGGGAGGTCACTTGTCTGAGGTCACAGGGCAAGAGAGAAGAAGACCCAGGTGCCCTTCCCACCAAAGAAGGCAGCCTGGACTTCCTGGGCTGTTGGGTTCCCTGAGGGTCCTGCCGTGGGCCACACCACATAGCATTGCTTGACCTTGAGGGGGCAGGAGGGAACAGCAGCTCCCACCCCGCCCTGCCCCAGAGGGCCCGCTCTCTGTCCTGGCACAGGTTGGCCGGTGGGTGTTGGACCCCAGTAAACGTCCTTGGCTGTTGGACAGCCCACATCCATAGGCACCACTGGTCCCCAGACTTGCCCGATGCGGGTCCTACAAGGGATGCAGGAGCATCCCAGGTGCTCGTGGAGAGGGCTGGTGGCCTGGGGCCTCTCATAGCAGCCAGTGTCCCGGGATGGCGCTGCCCAGGGCGTCCGGGGTGGGGTGGCTATCGGTCTTGAAACCGAAGCACTCTGCTGGGGACGTGACAGGTGCCCCGTGCCTCCCGCGTGCCGGCGCCAGGGCCCAAGTGCTCTCGCCCCGCCAACGGCGTCTCCGTTTCCTTCCACAGATGTGGTGAACCTGGATCTCAAATCCACCCTGAGGGTTCTTTACAACCTTTTCACCAAGTACAAGCACCTGGAGTGAGAGCAGCGAGCAGCGGAGACCCTGCAGGGCCGGGAGGCCTGCCAGCCTTGTTCCCCACCCCACCCCTCCCCCACGCCAACCAGCCTCTTCGGGTTATTGCTTTTAAGCTCCCCTGTGTATCCCGCAGTGGGCAGGATCCTTTGAAAGGCAGGATTCTGCACCCCAGTGCTGGCATCTGGCCCCACAAGTGCTGAGACACGTGTCGGCCCTGATCCCCCCCACCCCTCAGCCTGTGGGGGGGCGCCCTGCAAGCCTTTCCATGGAGCAGTTAACGACCACGGCCATGGGTGATCAGAACAGCACCCACAGCTCTGAGGAGCCGTAAGTCAGCCTGACTGTGGCGGGGAATCTCCTTGGAAGCGAGGCCTTTTTAGTAAAAAGCGTTTTGTAGCTTTAAAAACTTCCCTCTAAAGTCCCAGGGGCTTTTGATGGGACAGGAGGGCCCGCCCCACATTCTGCTGCTTGACCAGCCAGTGTTTCTCCTTTACCTTTTGCACAAACATCTAAGACCCGGGTGACCCTCAGCTGCCACCGTGCAGGAGGCAGGATTCGCTGAAGCGATTTCTGATTTTTTTTTTTTTTGGTGACGGCCAAGTGGGCTAGGTCGGGAGCCGGATCTAAAGTGTTGCTTGATACATCTCAGAGGCCCTGTTTGGGAATAGATGCATTTTTAAAATTTTATAAAAAGCAGGGTCTCTCAGTTTGCAGGGGCCGCCGTTTATAAGGGGCCACAGGCGGGGACTTAGACAACAGGAACTGATGGTCCCCCAGCTCCGGAGGCCAGAAATCCAGCATCAAGGCAGAGCTGGCTCCTCCTGAGGCCCCTCTCCCGGCTTGCAGATGGCCTCCCTTCCCCATGGCCTCACGTGGCCCTCCCTCTGTACCCGTCTGCGTCCTAACTTCCTCTTACAAGGACACCTGTCATAATGGATGAGGGCCACTCTTGTGACCTCTTTGTAACATACCGACCTCTGTAAAGACCCCATCTCCAAATACAGGGACATTCTGAGGTACTTGGGCTTAGGGCTTCAACATATGGATTCTGCGGGACACAGTTCAGGCCTGATTGGGGGAATATGACGTCTTTACCCCCCTCCTCCCCAGTGTGGCTTTCAACCCTGCTGGCATCCCCTGCTGGGCACCCCTGAAAGGAATGCTATTCGCCCCCTCCCCCGCTCACTTTGGCTCAAGAGAGAAACGGGGCGGCGGGGGGGGGGGGGCTGCCCTGTGTCACCCCCCCACACACACGGCAGCCTCTTTCCTGGGCTCTCAGCTCTCAGGACAGGCCTTTCTCATCTCCGATTTTCACCTTCCTGCTGTTGATCGGAGCGGTCGTGCTGGTTGTTAATATTAAATCGGACGCCGGCACTCACGACTCAGGAAACGCTGATTCCCCTGTCCCCTGTCTCAGCTCTGCCGCTGCGACTCTGATGGAGGTGGTTTCCCAGCAGGGGACAGAAATAATTTAACAGTATTACAGTGTCTCCTGCGGGACGCGGCGACATTAAAGGGCCACACTGACAGAAGAACCAAGGCTGGAACATTCTGTGCCGACTTCATTACGTGCGTAGGTTCCCTGCCGGCCGCTGGAGCTGCAGAGGCCGGTCACCCGGCTTTCACAGGCGGGCCTGGCCAGGCTGTGCCCATCCCCAGGGGTCCCAGGGGCTGAAGGATGGGGGGCTGACATTTGGAGAGAATGCAGCCTCGGGGTTTTCAGCGCAGGTGGGCAGCTCCGGCGGGCTCCGCGCCTAGAAAGGGAGGCAGTGGTCCTGGGGGGGCGGGGAGTGCATGCGCTTCAAGCCCTCTGAGTTTCTGGTGAAAGGGGTCCCTAGATATGGGCCAACTGTGTCACGGTGCTGACCCTCTAAGGCCAAGGTTCCAGCAGAGCAGGTGATCTGTCATCCAAACTGGCTTTATTCAAGTTGGTTCCCTGCACTGAATGCATCTCCTTCCCTCCCTTCACTGTCTGCTCTGAATCAGAGTTCAACGAGAGGCCTGGGCATCTGCGTGGGGGGCGCAGTCGTGAGGCAGAGAGCAGGGTGAACTCTGGGGGCGGCCTCTTCTCCTGTGATCAGCCCTCCTGGCTTAGCGACCATAGCTGTGCGTTTCAGGTCTGCGATGCTGGGACGTCTTCTTGGGGTAACTTGCTCAGCAGAAGCCACTTCCCTTAATCTCGGAAAGTTCTAGAACCCTTCCTCCTCCATTGACCCACCTTTTCAGTGCATTGTTTTTTGGTCAGGGGGGGGACCCTCTATAGGAACTAAGTGAAAGCGAGATCATTTGCACCCGAGTGGCACTGGCTCAGGGTCTGCAGGGCCCGAGCGAGGGCCCAGGCAGGGGCCGTGAGATGGTCCCCTTTTATCCTCCTTGGAGCGGCTGTTGGAGGCCCCTGCTGGCCTTGGGGAGGCTGCCTGCAGCTGGGCTTCCCCCGTGACAACCACAGGGTCTTATGCACGCAGAGCCCTAATGTCCTAATTGGATGTGACAAAGAGCTGTGTTTTAAAGGAACTGAATGCTTTTTTCACCCCCTTTTGCGGGCCCGTGTTTCATTGTCTTTTTAGCTGTTTTAAGCAGTGGCGCCTTTGGATGTCTGGATATCGAATAAAAGCCGCTAAACCCCTGGCGTGTTGCCAATGCCGTCCGCCTGGCCGGCAGCGGGAAGCCGTGGCTGCTCGGGTCTGCCGTGGGCCCTGCCGTGAACCTGACCTCCTGGGAGCCAGAGCCTCGGTTAGGAAAGTGCTGTGCGCTGTGAACGGTGCGCTGTTACTTATTCCAGTAAAGACCTCGAGAGCGCGGGGCTATGTCTGCTTTTGCTTTCATGCGCTTAGTGGCCCTTGGTCGCGCAGGCCCAGTGCTTGGGCCCAGGAGCCAGCGTGCAGCCTGGTGTGGGGGCCGGGCCCCGCGGGGGCTGAGGCCGAGGGGTTCCTGGGCGGGAGCCACGGGGGAAAAGCAGTCACAGCAGCGGATGTGCAATAGGGATGAGCCGAGCTGGGCGGGTCGGCCTAGATGTCCGGGTCCAAAGCAGAACGGGGTGTGCAGGGGGCCGGTGGCGCCAGCTGGACAGCCCGCTCCGGGGGGATGGTGTGCCCCTTGCGCTGCAGGACGAGGGGCCCGGGTGACCCTCGACGGTGGCCGTGCTGTAAACCTTCCCTGCAGAAGTCACAGGGGGATTCAGGGGCCTCGAACTTTCCTGTCCGCAGCATTAAAACTCACTCTTGAAGTACTGCTAACCGGCAGAGCGAGGCCTTGGTGCTGTAAAAATACTAAGGATCCCAAACAGCCGCTGGGAAGGACCCAGCTTCGGAGGGACGCCTGGTCCAGAGCCACGTCGTTCCCGTGCGACCTCTGGCCAGTTCGTTATCCCGCACTTTCCACGGTGGAAATTCCCCTCCAGTTTCCCTCACCAGATCCATCATCACTCCCTCACTTAAGATCTGCCTTCCTCGACTGGTAACACATCCTTTATTAGCCCAGGTCCAGTGGCAGATAACTGGTGTCGCCGTAGTTGCTTGAACAGGAAGGAGTCTAATACCGGAAATGAGGTGACCCCAGAGCCACTGGAAGGCTGGAGCCCCAGGCTGGGGACAGACCCCCCCATCAAGGACTCGTCCAATGACACCACAGTGGCGGCCTCTGCCCTGACCAGGAGGCTGCCGAGCCGCTACTGTCTCCCGAGGCATCAACGTTGGGCCAGATGTTTCCCGACGGCCCCTGAGACCCCCCGCCCCCCACCCCGCCCCGCGGTGTCTGCGGCCCTGGCCTCACCGACTGCCTGGGCGAGCGTTCTTGCCGCTGGCTTCCTCTGGGATTTGGCCAGTGGGAGGCCCCAGCAGGAAGGAGGGTGGGGGAGAGTGAACGAGATCAGGGTGTTAGTTGTCCCTCGGCCAGGCCACCGTGGGTCGGCGTGCCCCCCTCTACCACAGCCCCTGGCTGGCGGCCGGCTCAGAGCTCCAGCCATCTCTTTCTGGGCTCTGGTGTCCTCCCTGTCCTCTGCCCCGCTGGGCTTCGGAGTAGCCCGTCTCGGGGGGCAGCACCGTCTCTTCTGGGTTCCCTTAACCTGGCCCCAGCCAATGCTTTATTAAGCACTCTTCAGCCCCCCATTTGGGCATGCCATCTCTGCGGAGACTTGGCAGCACACTGACCCCTGGGCCACGCCGGGCCCGCCGCACTTGCCCAAGCCAAGCGGGTGTGTGGGCACTGCTGCTTCCCGGCCCACTGCGCCACAAACCCCGGGCTCGCACGGGGCCATCGGGGCGGGGGGGGCGCGCAGAAATGGGATCCTGCCCCTCTGTTTCTTCCTCTGCAGGTGGGGATGAAAGCAGCACCTGCCCCAGAGGCTGCCCCCAGTAAAATTAAAGCCCTTAGAGCGATGTCTGCTGCGTCTTCAGTTACTCAATAAATATTAGCAGTAATAATCACTAACACGTTGTCATTTTTGTAAGTTCTTGGGGACAACGCCGCTTTCCTGCTCACGTGTGCCCTTGTTCCTGCTTCCCACCTGCTCTGCCCCTTTTCTGCCTGATCTGTCAGCAGAGAAAGGGTGCTTGGCTTCCTGGTCCCTCAGCACAGTCGCTGCTGCCGCGAATACTCACAGGTTCATCCTGGCCCAGGAAGATTCAAGTGCAGGACCCCAGCTCAGGTCTGAGCTGATCGCCGACTCTCCTGCCGTCCTGGGGCCTCTCCTTCTCAAACTCCTTAACACCTTCGCATGCACCGTTCCCTCCACCTGGAACATTCTCACACATCTTTAGCGGGCAAACTCTTATTCATCCGTCAAGGCCCATTTCTTCTCTGGAAGAACTTCATCCTCTAGGCAACAGTAGCCAGCTGCATTTATGCATCGAGTCCGCTTGGTGTCAGGCCTTGTTCTAGGCACTGGGGCACAGAAGACCTTCAGAGCTGTGGTAAGGAATCCTACAGACGACCTCTTTTAGATGATGCAGTTAGGGAAGGCTTCCTGAAGGAGGAGGCGTTTAAGCTGATGATAAGGATGAGGACTTAGCCCCTTTAAAAGCTGGGGCAGGGGCTTCTAGGCAGAGGAAATAGTAAGGCATGTAGTGTGTTCAGGAAGCAGAAAGTTGGTCAACATGGCTGGGAGGTTTGGAGATGGGGATGGAGATCTAACCAGCAGGTCCATCAGGACATACGCTGGGCTGTGCAGAGTAGATTTTAAGAACGATGGGATGCCATTGGTGGGTTTTGAGGGGTCTGGGACGTGAGCATCCAGGCAGGGGTTGGGGTGTGAGAGGCTGGCTGTGGGGCTCGAGCAAGGAGGCTCCTATGTGGTCCAGGCCAGAGGAAGAGGGGAAGAGGGGCTGGCTGGTTGGGGGTGTGGGGGTGGAGGGATGGCCTGAGGCACGGCTCGAAGTTCGCTAGGGGCGGGGTTGTGGGGGTCTCTGGCCTCGGGCGGCTGGCTGGCTGGCTGGTGCTGGCCACTCGGAGATGGTGAGGCCGGGAGGGACTGGCTTGGGCTGCGTGGTGGGGAGGGGAGAGGGAGAGACGGAAGAAATCGCAGATCCGAGTTGCCTGCGAGGCATCTGAGGGCCAGGAGGTGTGGCTGGGTGGTTGGGGCTCCAGGGACAGAGCTTTCCGGTGGGGCTGTGGAGGCAGCAGGCTCAGCGGCCCAGTGAGGAGGAAGCTGCGTGCAGACGCCTCCGAGCAGGCCCTGCGGAAGCCACAGGCCTGGAGGAAGTGAGCAGTGTGGCCCCTCCAGCCCCCCACGGCTAGGAACTTAACTTTTATTTGGAAGCCAGTGATCACGAGCTACAGCTTCATTCCCTGGTGTGAAGGAGGCAGCCAGGTGAGTCCTCCTGGCATCTTAGCTCACGGGAGCCCTCGGCTCGGGGCTTTCTGCCTCTCTCTAAAGCTCGGGAGTCAGAGCTCAGTGAGGGAGGGCTCCCGGGGGCTTGTGGAAACGGACCGCAGAGGACACAGCCTCAGCTGAGGCCGCACGGGGAGGGAGTCGGGCCAGGCGAAGCCCGGAGCCCCTCTGCCCCTCCGGCCCCCCAGGCTCGGAAGCGGCCATTCCTCCCTCCTGGGGCCGGACAGGCAGACGGGCACCATCCCATTGCGTGGCCAAGCGGGCAGCCTCCCTTTCCCCCTGCCACCTCCCCTGAGCTTCATCCAGCGTGCGGGGAAGAGAGGCCACCCGGTTTCAGATGAAGAAACAGGCCCGGGGCAGGGAGGGGCTGCCCGGGGCGGCCGACGGCTTGAGGCCGTTCCAGCTCTGTCCACTCCAGTGCCTTCGGTGAGCTCGGAGTCCGGCCCTGTCTGTAAAGATCTTTGGGACCAGAAAGGGAGGGGATTTGTCCAATGTCACACAAGGAGAATGAGGAGGAGCCAGCCTGGAACCTGGGCCACCTAACCCCCAGGCAAGGCTCTTTCCTTTTCTGTGGCCGTGTCCTTTGAACCGAATCCTGTCCAGAAGGAGCTTGGAGGCCTATCCAGGGGGTAGGGTTGGATCCTCGCCTCAGGGCAGGAGGGAGCTGCCAGCAGCACCCTGGTCCCTGGGCTGGCTGCTAGGGCGATGGGGAGGCTGCGGCCCCTGTGAATGCCCCCATCTTTGGGGGCCTCCCTGGGGGCTGGAGCTGGCCACCATTCTGATGCATGACACCCCAGCCCCAATGTCTGTTTGGGACCAGAAACGCTGGGGGAAGACGCAGGGGCTGAAGAGGGTGGCTGAGCAGGAGAGGAAGTGAGCCCAGCGGAACAGGAAGGAGGCCAGGGCCGGCTTCTGAATGTGCCCGGTCCCGCGGGCCGTGAGCCCAGCCCCCTGCCCATAATGAACCCGTGGAGGGGGCTGCACACACTCTGTAAATGTTGACCCCTCCCATGCTGGCATGAGCAATGAGACCCCCCCAAACCACAGAGAGGCCGAGGATGATAAGCCTTCTATCCCCTGCACCCCCAGGGCCAGCAAGGGAGAAATGGAGTCAGAGTCCTTATACAACCTGCTGCAGCTCCCTAAGGTGACGGGCCCGCCGACGGAGGAGGAACTCCCACAAGGTGCCTGTCCAAGTGGGGCTGGGGGGTGGCGGGCGGGGCGGGGGAGGTGAGGGTCTGCATGGCAGGAACCCAACAGGCGGTTGCAAGCAAGGCGCTGCCTTGCTTTCCAAGTTGTCATCCGGCACCCAGTTCTGTTCGGCCCCTGCCGATGCCTTCTGCTTCACCCTTGACAGCCGCCTGCCCCCGCTTCCAGAATCTTCGGCGGGCATCCCCATTCCCCTCGTGACCGCACATCTCCAGGTTAATGGTGATGTTAAGAGGAAATTCCAACTGCTGCTGTTTATTTAGTAGTAGCAGCATCTCATTTACTGCTCTGAGGGTAGATGTTCCCGCCTCCTTGGCGTACACGAGGAAACTGAGGCCCAGAGAGGAATGTAGCAGGTAGCCTGTGACTCCTTTACTGTGGCGGACAGCAGACATCTGACGCCTCGCGGAATGGGGGCTTGTCGATCTGCTTCCTTCACACGCCTGGGTCCCTTTGCAAAGGGGGGTGGCCGTAGGACGGGGGAATTCCGCAAGTCTGTTTTCTGAGCTTGGGGAGCTTGTGGCCGCTGCCCCTGAAACCTCCCTCCCAGGAGACAGTCGGAAGGGACAATGCAGGTGCCCCAGGCCATCCTCACCCTGTTACAGAAAAGAAGAAAATAGGGAGCAACCCAAAGGTCCTGCTCAGCAGAGGCTTTAAGCGAACTCACTGGAATTTATGTCACCTTTCAAACCTAAGTGTGATGATGGAGAGAAAGGGTTAGATAATTGAAGTGAAAGAGCAGAATGCAACTTGATCGAGATGCTGTGAAGACAGCCTTTCGAGATAGGCGCTGTGGCCGAGAGACCCCCGGGGGTGGTGAGCGAGACCCTGGCGGCCGGGCGGTGGGAGGGGGCCGGGTGCAGGGGTGGCCCAGCGTCACGAGGCTGACTTCCTTTGTCGTCCCGGGGCTCTCTGTTTATAGAGGGTTTGAGGCTGGAAAGTGTCATGAGCAAAACTGCTGTTAGCGGTAGGGCTTAGTTATTTGAAAAAATATTTATTTTGTGTTTTACGGTTGATTTAGAACTATTTGAAGTACTGGCAGGCAGAGCTGGAACGTGTGATGATTGAGAGCGGCAGGAAGCCTGCTCTGAGAAGGGGTGGGGTGAGGGTGGGGTACCACCGGAGCCGTGCACCCACCAACTCCCCAAGCGTTGGTCCAGAGCCGGCTGGTACCCAGCGGGTTAGAGAGCCCTCCTTCTTGTCGGGAGATATGGGGCTGGGTAGTACTTGAAGGTTTTCAGAACGTCTAGGAAAAGCCCCCAGCTGCGTCATATGAAGACAGAGGCATTGCATTTTGTGAATTTGGGCAAGGCAGTCCCCACAAGGTGACTCAGTTTCCCCCATGTTCATTGAGACTAGATGATCTTGCAGTTCCCTCTCAGCCTTGACAAGTGTGGGTTCTGTGAGTCTAGAATGTCAGGAAGCTGCTGACCAGGATCCTGGGGCTCAGAGAGTCAAGCCGGGGTGGCCTCTGGGTCCTGCCCACACCAGGGAGCTGGACGGATGCAGGAGGACTCCGCCTCGGGCCCTTGGTGCCCAGCCCCTGGGCTTGCGTGAACCCTGCATCTTCTTAAGTGGGTAGATTTGCCAGATAAAACACAGGAGGCCGAGTTAAATTTGAATTTCAGGCAAGAAATAGTTTTTCAGGCTGGGTATGTCCCCAAAATATAAATATTGTTGTGCCTGAGGATGAGCTAGTGCTCATGAGGGAAATGAGAGGGAAAGGCGTTTAGGGTGTGGTGGGAACAGCATGGCAAAGAAAGAGGCGTGGAGGACGAGGCGTGTCTGGGAAATCCGAGTCACTTTAGACGTTTGCTGCTCAGGGTGTGTGTGTGTGTGTGTGCACGCGCGCATGCACGTGCTTGTGTGTGTATCTACGACTGTGTGTATGCACGTGTGTGTGTGTGCATGTGTGTGTTTGTGTGTATGTGTGTGTGTGTATGTGTGAAGCACAGGACTAAATATCCCTCGTGTCAAGGTACCTGCATACAGGTGACCTGCAGGGAGAGAGCTGCCCAGCTCCCTGCAGTGTCCGCACACATGTGTCATGCTCACCTCTGCTTCCAGGAGAGAAAAAGAAATACCTGCCCCCCACTTCCCGGCAGGATCCCAAATTTGAAGAACTGCAAAAGGTACGGCAGCTTTCTGTGGTCTCTCCTGATTTCTCTGGAGGGGGTCTTTTCACCTTCTTGGGGTGGGGACAGCAGGCCACCTGCGCCCCCCGACCGCAGGCCAGCAGGGGGTGACCCTGCAGGTCCCTGGCAGACCTGTTGAATGACTACATGAAAGAACATTTATTGAGCACCCACTGTGTGCGTTTACATAGATGATCCCAGCAAGCCTCATGATGGTCAAGAGGCATCTGCTGCTTTGCATCCCATGGAGGGAATAGTGAGGCTCAGAGGGGTGACCTGACTGGTGGGGGACACAAGGCTGGCCAGTGGCTGACCAGAACTGGAGTTTGACCCAGGCCCCAAACCGTGTGCCCTTTCACCTGTCAGAGGCAATGGAGAACAGGCAAAATGGGCAGGAATGGGCGTGGTTCACCCAGGTCACCCAGTTTCTCCATGGCTCTGAGTCTGCCGCTGTGGCTCCTGGACCAGCTGAGCACAGGCAGGCTCAGGCCTCCGTTTTCCTCTGCCCTACTTCTCCAGTCTCCACATGGCCTTTCTGTTGCCTCCTCCAGGGAGGCCTCCTGGCCTGTACCACCTTCCAGCCCCAGATTGTGGCCATTTCCCATCCCTTCCTTTCTGCCTCCTGTTCCCTCGCTCCCTCCATCCCACCTCTCCCACCATCAGGCACTGGGATGCAGGGCACAGCCAGCTCGGTCCCTCCTGGAAAACCTGACATGTCTTAGTTTGGGCTCTTCCAAGAGCTGATCCTGAGATAAGGGTTTGGGTGTAAGTAGTGAGTCGGCAGGTAATAGAGGAGACAAGGAAATCAAGTAGGGAAGGGAGATGGGGAGGGAAGGGGCCGCCAGGGCAGGTGCCGCTGGTGGAAGCTGAAGCCTGCTGGGCCCCTCTGGGAGCAGGGGTGGAGGTGGAGGAGCTTGGGGGTTTCCTCACCAGCTCTGGAGTAGCTGGCGCTGCTCCCTTAAAGGCTCAGGGCTCTGCTTCCTGCCCTTCTGGCCTGTTGAGCCCAGGCAGGGTGGGGTGCCCGGGCAGAGCTGCAGAGGGGGTGCCCCACAGCCGAAAGTCTGGGGGATAGGGTGGGACACCCACAGCCCCTGTGCCGGTGTCCTGGGGCTGCCACCACCAAGTACCATGAACCACGTGGCTTAAAACAAGGGGAGTTGATGGTCTCCCAGCCTGGAGGCTGGAAGTCCTAAGTCAAGGTGTGGGCAGGTGGGTTCCTCCCAGAGGTTCTGAGGGGGAACCCATCCCAGGCCTTTCTCCCACCATCAGAGGTCTCCGACAACCCTTGGTGTCCCTTGGTGTGTAGACGCGCCACTCCAATCTCTGCCTCCTTGTCACGGGGCCTCCTCTGTGTTCCCAGTATCTTGTCCTTCCTCTCCTTCTGAGCTTTTACCAGAGGTGCCTGCTTCGTGTCCAGATTTCTACCAACAGCCTCTTCGAGGCAATTTAGGCTTTTCCTATCAAGGGCCTTCAGTGCTCTTCCCAGTTATCCAGTCCCACAGCCACGTCCCCACTTACAGGGACCAGTTACAGTAGCTTCCCGGCACTGACACCTTGCACAGGACAAAAGACAGCTCCACCATGCCCTGGTCCCTGGGAGCCCAGAGCGGGCCCCTAACTCAGCCTGGGAGAGGAGGGAGGGCTTCCCAGAGGAGGTGACATTTGACCTGGCCTTGAAGGATGGGTAGGATTTGGCAGGTGGGAGGAGGGCATTCCAGGCCGAGGTCAGAACAGAGCCAGGTGGGGGACCAGGTGAGGAGTGGTCCCGGGTCAGCCGTCCTCTTGGGATCTGCAGGTGCTAATGGAGTGGATCAATGCCAAGCTCCTCCCTGAGCACATTGTGGTCCGCAGCCTGGAGGAGGACATATTTGATGGGCTCATCCTGCACCACCTTTTCCGTAAGTAGCAGCTCCCAGGGCTGCACGGGTCTGGGCCCCAGCCCCCCAGCCCGGCCCCTCCAGGCCCCCGAGGGTGGGCTCCTCACTCAGCTTCACCCTCCTGCCCCCTGCTGAGTGTCATGTATGGAGCACCTGCTGTTTATAGGCTGCGGTGGATAACAAAGAACCCAGGTCTCCGGCCTCGGGCTGCCCCCGGCTGCTGGAGAAGACAGGCCAGCAGTGAGACGACCCAGGCGGGTAGAGGTGGGCTGGGCTCCTTCCCCGGCGGGGGGGCCTGTCTCAATCTGGAAACGCCTAGTGCTCCCCAGGTCGCCTTTACTCTCAGAGCTGCCTCCTGGCCCCAGGCAGGTCCCCTACCCTGCCCCCAGGTACCCTCCCCCTTGCTGTTGAGATGTCAGGTTTGGTCTACACATCTGCCTTCTGCACAAAGCTGTGAGGTCCCAGAGGCCTGGGGTGGTCCCGATTCCGGTCCTCAGCCGGCCTGGGAGCCCTTTGTAGTTGGTGACCAAATGATCCTACCAGCCCCTTCCCCAGCACCTGCCATGGAGCAGCTGCGGTTAATCCTCAGAAAAACTCTATCCTGTTAGTGTCCCCATTTTACAGATGAGGAAACTGAGAGGCCTAGTCACTTGTCCAAGGTCTCAGAGTGAAGAAGGCGGGGGAGTCAGGATCTGAGCCTAGGAGTCTAGGCCACACAGCCTTGCAGAACGGAGGTGCACAGAGCTATGCAGAGGGCTAAGGGAGCAGGCACGGGGTGGTCAAGGTGAGGGGGCCAGTGGAGGGCAGCTCAGAGGGCGTGGGCTTGCTCAGGTCACACAGCTTATGGAAGGGGAGGTCCCCCAGTGCCCTCCCCCTTCCCCCTCCCACTGTACTCCCCCCTCCCTCCCCCTCCTCCCTCTTCTGCTTCCCTCCACCCCTCCCCCCACTCCTTCCCTGGCTCTCCCACTCTCTCCTGCCCTTAGAGATTCTGACCGGGCTCAAGCTGGAAGTGGAGGAGATGGCTCTCACTGCCCCGAGCCAAAGGCGCAAGCTCGAGGTGGTCCTGGAGGCCATCAACCACAGTCTGCAGGTGGAGGAGCGGCAGCTCAAGTGGAGCGTGGGAAGTAAGTGGGGCCTCGGCTGGGGCAGGGTCTAGGGGAGGGCGGGGGCGCCTGGGTCCCTTTGCACCAGTGGCCTCTGTTCACCCAGCAGCTGTGCTCACCTGCCTTTGGTATGGGGACACCCCGGGGGCTTGGAAGAAGCACGGCCTCCTGGGCAAAGTCGTGCACCTGTTGGGAGCAAACAGCCCTATGCACTTCCGGACCGCCGCGGTGTGGGCAGCATAAACTGGGTCAACCATGCAGCCCCCGTTTGAATCCCAAGCACCGCGAGCCCCCACTTGCCTTGTCAGATGGGTGCTACCAGTCCTCTTTCATTAATTGGTTTAAGTTATACCTGCAGGGCAGGCTTGTGAGAAACGAGCATGAGCACAGCACCCAGACCCCGACCCCAGCCCATTAGCAGTTCAGTATGACCTTCCCACCATTCGGAACCCCACATCCCTCCCATTTTCCAGATGAGAGCACTGAGGCAGAAAGGGGTTCTGTACCTTCTCCAGGGCTGGGGGTGATGATGGAGCCGTTTTCAAGCCCAGCTTTGGTTGGGTCTCATGCCACTGCCTTTACCACTTGGTTTAAAGACTCGCTTTCAATGCCCGATGTGTATAATACTGGCCCTGAATTAAGTCACACTCATCTGAATCCAGCAGTTTCTCCCGGCAGGACCCCGCTGTAGGGCATCGGGTTGCACACAACTGTCAGCAGGGACTGCCTCTGTGTCTGAAGCCCCGTCCACATGGTGCCTTGTGCTGCATTTGCAGAGCGGGGTGACAAGAGCAAAGGGTGACTGTTTTGGGTTCAGAATGAGTGTCTCCAGAACTCTGCCTTCCAGAAGGCTGGACGCAGAGCTCCTTGGTCTTCAGAGGGTGGTTGTGACCACAAAGAGACCTCCATGTGGTCCCAGGTTTGGGCAGCCCCTCAGCTCTGACCTGTGCCCCCCCAGCCATCTTCAACAAGGACCTGCTGGCCACCTTGCATCTGCTCGTGGCCCTGGCCAACCACTTCCAGCCCGACCTGCCCCTTCCGACCAACGTCCAGGTGGAGGTGATCACCATGGAGGTACGAGGCTGGGCCTCAGGGGACCCCTGTGTGTAGGCTGACCATTTTGGGTCCATATCACCATACCCTGGATTGGGGGTGCTGCATGGGAGGGGACTGACCCTCCCTTGAGATAGATCACATCCCTCCAGGACAGCCGTGGGCGCTGGGCTGGAGCTGTGGGTGGGAGGTGTCGAGAGTCCAGGGGGGCCATAAGTAGGTCTGCAGGCTGGCCAGTCCCACTTACCTCAGTAGATAGCATCTGCTGGTGGGGGTGGTGTTAGGAAGGTCCTGGCTGATGGCAGCCATGTCACGTGGGCCATAAGTGGTCATCTGTTCATGGCCTTTTGGGAGCCTTCACAGCCTTGGCCCATAGCACTGCAGTGTTGTTCCTTGGTCACTATGGAGGGCTGTGACTATACAAGGGAGCTTTCTCAGGTTTCTCCACCTGCACCTCCACCTCCACCCTTGCTCTAGCACACTCACAACTGTGCTGAAGTTCATGTCCCTGGAACCCACGGCTTCTCCCTCAGGCAGAGTTTGAGCACCACAAATGGGCCCCCACCTACTCCTGCTCTCCATTACTCCTTCCCCCAACCTCCCAGTACCTGGTGAGCATTGGGACTTCCTGTCTTCGAGCTTACCTTTCACTCAGGTGAAATCATCCTTACTTTTTTCAAAACCATTGATTGAAATTCTCTACTAAGTAGTGTCGTGACTTTGTTTATAGTTCTTATGTAAATCGGAGGTGACTTTATTCCTTCACTCCTTCACTTATTCATTCACTCATTCATCAATCCCTCCACCCACCTGTCCACCCACCCCTCTATCCACCCTTCTACCCATCTATCCATCCATCCATCCACCCACCCATCCACCATCCATCCATCCATCTATCCATCCACCATCTATCCATCCATCATCCATTCAGTCATCCATCCATCCATCTATCTGTCCATCCATCCACCATCCATCCATCCACTCATCCATCCATCATCCATCCATCCATCCACTCATCCATCTACTCATCCATCCTCCATCCATCCATCCACTCATCCGTTTACCCATCCATCTACCATCCATTCATCCATCCATCCTATCTGTCCATCCATCCGTCCATCCATCCATCCATCCATCCGTCTGTCCATCCACCCATCCATCTGGTCATCATTCATTCATTATTCAGATCAACTCATGTTCATTGACTCCCTATGAGCCAGGCACTGGGTGAGACTCTGGGGATACCTGGGGAACAAGACAGACATTGTTCTCATCCTCATGGGGCTCAAGGCTCATGAGAAAAAAAAACATTGAGTCAGGCCACAGTGATGAGAGCTGTCTAGGAACCACCTCTGAGGAGGGGATGAGGTAGAGTGAGCTGGGTTCCTTGGGGCTGCTCTGGCAACTACAGTCTTTTAATGGCTGGCATGGGTCCCTGAGTTTTCTGGGATTACTCAATTTCTTCCCCTTTTTTCTTTCTTAGAGCACCAAAAATGGTCTGAAGTCAGAGAAATCAGTGGAACAACTCACTCAGTGCAGGTGAGGGAAGAACCAGGACCTACAGCAGAGGCCAGGTTATGTTTTTTTGAGAATGGGCCGTGGGGCCTGGGGCCAGGGTCCGATCTACCTGCCCTTTGTGGGAGGGGCCCTCACACCTCCCTAGCTTCCTCTCAGCCCCCAGAGGGCCTTGCTGACCCCTCAGCCCTGCTGGGAGCCCTTCCATCTTGCTGGGCCTCACAGGGCATGGCCCTTTATGGGCTGTTAGGCATGCCAACCCCTGCCAGCTCATTTCATTCTCTGCACAACCCAACAAAACAGGCAGAATTGGGGTTAGAAAAGGGGCTGTGGCTCCCAGTCCTGAGATCACACCATAGCCATTGTGGGCCAGGAGGAATCCAGAACTGGGGTCAGAGGACCCCGATGCCATGTTGGTTCCCCTTTGCCTGGTGCCCAAGTGCTGGATATGGGTGAGGGAATCATCCATGGCAGGGAGATGCTGCAGTTGAGCATAAATGTTATAACAGGATGACAGAACCCCACTGGCCTCCCAGTGCCCAGAGACACACGCACCAAACACTCCCTCATACCACCAACATTTATTGAGCACCTACTGTATGTGGGGCAGGAAGCTCTGTCCTTGGGTGTCCATGTCAGCCAGCTGTTTATCTGTTTACCTTCGGTCTGTCTGGGCAAGCAGGATGCTCAGCCAATGAGCTCTTCCCTCTGCCCTCCTGGAGGGAAAGGCTCTCCCAGGCAGTGCTGGCCAGGTCTTTCTGGGTTGGTCTGAGAGTGGGCCTCTTGCAGGAGGTTGTAGGTTCTCCTTTTTCCTCTAACATTTGCTGAGGGCCCACTATGTGCAGGGTGGGCTGTGTAGCTCCTGTGACCCGTTTGACCCTCACAGAGCCCAGCTGAGGAGTCAGTTCTCTCTAGCTCACAGGCTTGGCATGCAGCCCCACCTGGGCTTAGCTCCCCATCGGTGGTATATGAGCTGTGTGACCTTGGACAAGTCACCTCCCACAGTGCTGAGCCTCTGCTCCTCTGAAAAATGGAGACCCATTCTTACCTCGTGGGCTGTTGTGAAGGTTATAGGTAATGTGTGCTTGGGGGCCTTCCCCCACCTGGACTCCCTCCAACCCTGGGGTCCATCCAGTCTATGGCTCCTGTGAGGAGTGGAAGGTAGTGAAATCAATGGAAAGTTGATGACCAGTGTCCACTGTGACCCAAGCACGTGTGCTGAGCAGGGCAAAGATTAGGAGGAGGCCGACTTTTGCTGGCCCCTCATGCCAGGGCATCCAGTTCACATGCAGGCCCATTTAACCTTCCCCAGGGCACCCGGGAAGAAGCCTTGCTCCCCTCTGACTCAGTGAGGCTGAGTGACCTCACAGTCACCCAGCTGCTCGGTGACCCTGACCTGGCTCCTCCTCTGAGCCAAAGCTTCAGGGTCTGGAAATGAGCCTGGGGGGCTTGAGTGGGAAGGTGTCATCTGTTCATGATGCCACATTCCTGCCCCGCTTAGGATCCTACAATCATCCTTCTCCACCCCTTTATGAACTTGGAACTCTGTGACGGCTCCCCTCAGCTCCCAGCCAGTGTCTCGGGCAGCACGGGGGCGTCTCTCCCTCTGGCACCGTGGTTCACGCTGATGAGCTCCGGGTCTCTGCTTTAGGCTGCCCGCTCTGCCCTGCACAGCCCAGTCCCCTGCTGAGGGCCACGGTCATGGGGGCGGGGTCATGGCACCTGGCTCCCCTGGGACCGCCTGGCCTGCTTTGGGCCCAGATCCTTGCTTCTCAGGGGTGGGGCTGGCGTGGAAAATTTGACACAAAGTCAAAGGAAAACCATTCAAAACAAGAAACACAGAGTGAAAGAAGCCAGACCCAGAAGAGTGTGTGCTGTGTGATTTCACCAACACGCACTCCTGGAACAGGCAAAACACATGCACAGTGGGAGGGATCAGAGCAGTGGTAATCCTGGTTGGGGGGTCATGGGGGTGGCAGGGGGGAAAGCACGTGGGGGTGCTAGGAAGGGTCTCTATCTCTTTGGGGTGCTGATCCCACAGGGGATATGTAAAAATATACCCGTGATAAACGTACAATTTGTGTGTCTGGTCGCACATATAATGCCTCCCGCCCCGACCAAAATGACAACCACAGAAATGATAAAACCCAGACATAACTCGGTGCGGAAACCTCCAGGGAAGGGAACGGGCCTCTTTCTGGCCATTTGCTCTGCACAAGGGCCCTCCCTGCCTGCTTACGAAGCTGCGGGGGAAGAAGGAGCCGCCAGCTTCGTTGTCAACTCTGCACGTGCCAAGTCTTGTCATATGAAGAAACTAGAGGTCTGAGGACGGTATATATATTTTTTAACCATTTCTTTGCCTTTCTCCCCCTACAATTTCCCTTTAGCACAGACAAGGACCAACCTGCGCGTGAGTACTATTGTACCCTAAGGGGATCTGTTCCTCTTGGGTGTGTGTTGACACAGATGTGATGACGAGGGGTGACTTGCTGGGCATTCTCACCCCCTTTGCGCCCTCGAGCCTTCTTCTGGTCCATTTGTCCCTCCTCCTGTCTGTCAGTGCGTCCATGGATCCGGCTATTTCCTCTCCTGGTACTGCTCATGTGGGGGAGAGATTTATAATCCCCACTGGTGGTGACGGTGGGGTTGTTACACACGTGTGGACTCTGGAGCCAGATGGCCTGGGTTCGAACACTAGTGCTTCCTCTCGGCAGCTGTGCGAACCTGGGCAAGTGCCTTAGCCTGTCTGTGCCTCAGCTTTCTCATCTGTAAAATGGGATTAATGACGGCACCTACCTCTTGGGCTGGTGATGAGGGTTGAAAGAATTTGCAAATGTGCTTAGCACAGCGTGGGTACCTCATCGTGGCTGGTCTGGGACGTGGCCGCTGCTCTCGTGACAGACCTCTTCACCCATTGACTGGTCCAGCCATTCCTTCCTTCCTTCCTTCCTTCATTTTTTATAATTGTTTATTTTAGTTTTCTTTCTTCTGTTTTTTGGTATTGATGTGAACTCATGGACTTTTTTTTTTTTTTTTT